ATCTATCTATCTATCTATCTATCTATCTATCTATCTATCTATCTATCCATCTATCTATATCTGGATTGATGGGTGGATGGATGGATGGATGGAAGAATGAATGGATGGATGGATGGATGGACAGAAGTCTGGCATTCAAACAAAAAACTTTATCTCATGGTCTCAGGTCACTTGCCCCCGTCTTTGCTTGGGACTGCCCAGGCGGTGCTGATGTCGTTGGCTACTGGGGCAGAAGTCGGGGTCCCGTTGGGCAGGGGCGGAGGCTTGGCACCCGCCTTCATCGTGGCGTCCAGTGGCGTTTCACCGGCGTCGTCCGGGAAGGGCGCCAGGCGACTGGTGGACAGGCCGTGCCTCAGGGTGTGAGTCAGCTTCAGCCGCCGGAAGCGGTTGGACATCCGGCTCCACCAGGACTGCGAGAGGGTTCACCCACAAGCATCACTTCCATCATCCTTATTCTGTCATTCACGAGCATGCTGCCTCATATCGCAACGTGCACACCGTTTGGCTTTTGTGTATCACTTCCTCTTTACCTTTAGGCCTCCCTTCTCGTCGGGCGGCACGGGCACGTTGGTGAGAGACTGTCTGCTTTTGGATCGAGTAACTGAGGGCCTGCCGCGATGTTTGGACTTGTCCTTGTCCACTTGCATGCACACGGAGGCCAACAGGCGGACCAGCTCAGTATCTGTCAAAATAAAAATAAAAACATTTAAAAAAAGGAGAGAAAAAAAGGCAGACGAATCAAAGCCTCAACGTAATACAGACTTCAGCTTTGTCGCCCTCTGCTGGGGAGAACTGTGTTTGCACATAAAACTACTCAAAAAGTCCAAGTCATATTTCCTCTCAGACTGTGGGTCTTTTTGTGGTTTGCAGAGTTTCTAAAAGCAGATTGGCAGGAATAGGCTATGGAAAAAACTGGCATGATTAGGACGCCTACCTGGATCATTGAGCAGCATCACCAAATCAAAGGCCGTGTATCCGTTCTTGGCTCGGAGGTTGACGTCTGCGCCCTGACTCAGCAGGTATTTCACAATGTCTTTATTGCTGGAAGAGATCAGGACGGAGAGTGCTTACTACAAGGACAAATATATACTACTTTAACATGTTTTTTAATTCAGCTTTCATGGGGGAAAAAGTTTTAGAACGCTGACTCAGCAGCTTACCCGTGGTAAGTGGCCTGCATTAAAGCCGTCCAGCCGTGAACGCCGTCCTGTTTGTCTATGTCCGCGTTCTTGTCCACCATCAGCTGCACCACCTCCAACTGGCCGCTGACCGCCGCCATCATGAGGGGCGACGCCCCGTCCTGATTGGACGAGTTCACCTGAGCGGCGTCCTCCTCCAGGATCTCTTTGACCAGCTGTGAATTTCCTGAATCATTCCAAAACGCAGGGACACGTTTAGTAGGACGGCGACGCTCCCGGCGGGATTTGCGGACGGCTTGGCTCCGTCGGCTTGGTGGCGCTCACCCAGTTTGAGAGCGCTGAACACATCGGGCCTTCTCCTCTCGTCGTCTGTGGGGGAGAAAAATGGGCGAGGCCAGATTTGGAATCTTCTCTGAAATGGCTCCACATAACTAAGCACAGACGGCCTGTGTGGGGGGTTGTGTACATAAAAACCCACAGAGAAAGAGAGAGGGAGACTAATACAACTGTGAATCCACCGGAAAATGGGGCCCGCTTTCAAAAGAAGACTGAAAAACCTTCATGTTTAAGACCTTTTTGGTTTATTTTGCTTGCAAATCATCCTTTCAGCACATTTCAAATAAGAACAGGAGCCTTTGTTTAATTTTGGAAATGTTCTGTGAAAATGTTACGCACACAAATCCACAAATCTGACGGCCTTCGACAAATTTGTTCCGATCGGAGCTCTAAAAGGATCACCGGGAGTCAGAAACATCTAAACTGCCACTGAGAAGAACTGGTAAACATCAAAGAGGCTAAAAGCACTCTCTGCTGGCCTTCCTCTAATGGCAGGGACACACACACACACACACACACACACACACACACACACACAGGAGGACGTAAATTGTCATTGTCGTTTCTTCTGTTTAAACTGGAGAGCATTTTTACGAGTGCCTGACGTCCCAAACCCAAACACAACCTTTATGTAAAGTTGAATTTGAATTTGTTGGGGGGGGTGACTTGGATCCCAGAATATTTAGTTTCCTTCCTTTAGATGAGGGATTCATTCACAAGCTTCTGCTCTTTTGTTTGCCATTCATTTCATATCCCACCAATAGTTACACAGTTAATCAGAGGAGATCATTTAAATCATTCTACTTCCCTCCACATGCTCGGGTATTTTTTTACTCTTATGTGAACCAGGATTTTTGCCAGCCCTGCTGTCAGGACGACAGAGTTGAACTTCACTTCACGCCTGTGTCTTAACTAAGACACACGCTGATAATCCTTAAGAACGCCGACACGGAGACAAGACCCTACCTGTCTGAGGTCGGACGGTGGTGATAGAGTCCAGGTAGGCCTTTATTTCCTTCTGCTTTAACTGCATGGCGAGTTCGAAAGCTGTCTTGGACAGGACGTTTACCCGGTCAGGGTCAGCTCTGCTTTCCACCAACTGCTGAGTCACGGCCACCTTTAGAGAACAAAACACAATCTTATCAACCAGTATATTAACATGAGCGAGCTTGGAAATTATATTGAAACTTCACACATTTTCAGAACCCACAATGAGGTTGTAGGAACCTATTTAAAGTAAAATGTATTGATTAAAAAATTGCCAATGGAGCTTCTTGAAATCACCGATCTTTGACATTTTGTGGTGGTACCTGATTTTTAATCTTTTTTTATGTGATAATGTGGCTCATTTGGTCAGTTTTCTGTGCCCTATCATTTATGTTCTGGGAGAAAAGTGGGTCTGGGCTCTTATGGTTCACAACCCAGGTCACACGATCCAATATGTGAAATCACTAGTCTTTCTAATCCGGCCAATCCTTCAAACATCGGCCCCACCTTCCCACTGAGGGTGGCTGCCATCAGCGGCCCCCACCCGGTGGTCTTCTGGGAGAAGTTGACGTCGGAGCCCCACTCCAGCAGCAGGCGCACCGCGGCCTCGTGTCCATGCTGGGACGCCACCATCAGAGCCGTGATGTCCATGAACTCTCTGCCGCCGCCTCCTCGAGGACAGCCCTCTGCGGATCCGAAGCCGGTCGCGCTGCGAGAGAGCAGCCACAGCCACCTCAGCCCCACAGACAAAGCAGCAGACCCCCCCCAAATCCATCCAGAAGCCTCTGGACCAACCAACCTGCAGCTGTTGTTGTTGTTGCCGTTGGGGACCGCCTCCGCAGCCACAGCCAGATGGTCGTAGTCATCCACGAAGGCCCCGCTCTCCAGAAGGAGCTTGACCACGTGGACGTGTCCACCACGCGCCGCCATGGTCAGGACGCTGGCGCCCAGCCTGTTGCGTCCATTTATCTCGGCCCCGTTCTCCAGAAGGAGGTGGGCAACGGTCAGGTGGCCAAACCTGGGCAGGCGATTTAGGGGGTTAGGGTTAAGGTTAGGGCAGGCGATTTAGGGAGTTAGATCTCAAGACAGCTATATACCAGAGGACAAGTTCACCCAAGTTGTTAGGCCCATCAAGATGGGTTTTTTTAAAGGTTAAAGTTCTATCAGAGGGTTAAGAAGGCAGATTGGGTTCTTTATTGTTAGTGTTTTACCAAAGGTGGATTGGCATTTGGCAAATGGGCATTTCATGTGGAAGTGGCTGGCCATTAAAGACATTCAAATGGCCTTTCTGTCACCCGGAGAGCCGGACCCGGAGGATCTGGGGGGGATTCTCCGGGTCCGGCCCCGGCCCCCAGCCCCACCTGGCAGCCTGCATCAGCGGCGTCCAGCCGTAGTTGTTGCGGCTGTCCACCGAGGCCCCCTTCCGGAGCAAGAACCGAACCAGGTTCTCGTGGCCGCTGGCCGAGGCGAACTGCAGGGCGGTGTTCCCCTCCTCGTCCGTGCAGTCCACCGGCACCAGAGACAACATGTCCGCGGCCGGGCACTCGGAGCCGGCCTCCGACCGCAGCCTGCTCTGCCGCCCCGACTCCTTCGGGGCTCCGGGCTCCAGGATGCCCCGGGCCGTTTCATAGTCCCCCTCGTCGCAGGCACGCAGAAGAAGCAGCGAATTCGCGGGGACACCGAAATTCATCTCTTCATTTGGCGTGTTATTTGGTCTCCATTGAGCTCCGTTTTTTTTTTTTTATCGACGATACGCTGCTAAACTTTTTCTCCTGTCACTTGGCCTGTGTTTGGAAGACATGACGCAAACTAAAAGGCCGTTTAGACTTTAAGATACAGTCAAATCTTCTCAGTTCCAAAGATTACAATACGGAAATAATTTTCAGTCTTAACAACTAGTTATGTCTTTCAGGTAAAACAACTTTCCAGAGCCCTGCCGCTGCCGCCCGGTTCCGTTACTTGTTGAGGAATTTGACCACCATCAAGGTTTCGAAAACACGATGAGTAACTTCCTGTTTCAAATTTCAAAATAAATGCTCTGTTAAATTTCTTCCGTTCATGTGATATATGTTGTAAAAGAGGAGCAAACTGGAGATCGGCTTTGCCCACAGTTACATTATTTGTCCTTTCAAAATGTAATTAACCATCCTGAATTTAATATATAAAGATCGTGTTACACACATTGATAGACAAATTTAGACATTTAATTTCGTAGCTCTTAAAATGATTTCCGTCTTGTTTGGGTAATGTTTGCATTGAATTACATGTTATTTTAAAGCTTAGATAAAAAGGCCAAGACATTTTGATTTGGTATCAATTAAGACACCTCGGTAAAAACATACATTTCGTTTTTTTTATTTTCTTGAAAGAGTGATTAAGAAGAATCAAGTCGTTATTATAATATATTGTCAGGTCTATGGTTTATTAGAAATATTGTTAGGAGTGGCCTCACGTGCCCTCCTGTCGCAATCGCAACTATGACAGACTGCATTAAAAGGGGTGACTGCTAGAGGTCGCTGTAACTTGTTGATGTTTTATAATAAAAGAAGAAGTAGCAAAGACCCGGATTAAGGGTGTATATTCAGGAAACGGGCCTTTCTTCGCCCTTTTCCGTAGGAGCTAACCACGTTGGTGGAGTTCGTTCCTGGCTCACCGCTGTTCGCTTGATTATCTTCCGAATAAGTCGGTCAGGAATATTAACAATGGTATGTTTAATATGATTTTATACAAACGTAACCTCATAAGGGTCATGTGCCTGCATTTTGACACCCATAAAATGCAATATGCTCTTAAAATGTAGACCTTTTGACGTGCTAGCACCAACAGCATATACATCTTCCCGCCATATGGTGTTTAAGAAAGTTACTTTTAATATTTTCTTCCAGTTTTAGGCTTGCGTAGGACCATCAATGAAGGATTTAACGTTAAACCTACTAAACGATAGAATTGAGTGATACGGTACAGCTATATGTTGCATCCCTCTGACAAAGCTTTAGCTTAGCCGGCTCATGTTTCAGTGTATTTGTAAAACAAAAAATTAACCTATTGTTTAAAAGTAATTTTTAATCGGTGGTATTAAGTTTCCCGCAACATAAATGTAAGTGGTGGTTTACACGCGGTCTGCCCTTCATATTCCACTCTCCATTCCAAGTTTGGCAGGTGTTTGGTTTAGATTCTCCAGATTTCAGACATTTCGAGCTAAAAAATTAAAACTAGTAACTTAAAAACAGATTGAATGTTTAAGTTCCCCTCAAAATAAGAAATATTAACTTAATTATTGGGCAATACATTTTACTGTGCTGTATTTTTCTAATATAGTATGATACTGGGAATGGAACATTGTTGCTATAATTAAACAACCTGCTGTCAGTGTTTTTTCCAACTGTTTACTTTGTCAATTTACAGGCTTTTAAAGATACTGGTAAGGCACCTGTTGAGACTGAGGTTGCCATTCACCGCATCCGCATCACCCTCACCAGCCGCAATGTCAAATCTCTGGAGAAGGGTAATTGTGCCAACTTTATTTTTTCGTATGAAGTTAAATGTAAGGCCGAGCAGTGAGGATAAGAATTTTCTCGTGATAAAACATGACGACCTTATACGCTATTCTGAGCCATGGCTTTGAAAACACCCCAGTTCCTTAAACTCTGGCTGTTTCGAGGTTTTTTAAAAAAGGTTTTTGTATTTCACAGTATGTGCTGACCTGATCCGTGGGGCTAAGGAGAAGAACCTGAAGGTGAAGGGACCAGTCCGCATGCCAACCAAGGTAATAAGATCATGGATAATATATATTTGAACTGTATGTGCGTAGCTTCCCTTCAGAAAGATCAGTTAATTATAGTTATCTTTAATCGGACTTCTGAAATTAGCATTCCTGGTGTGGGTCAGGTGTTAAAATCTGTCCAATCCACCAAATTAAAGTGAAGTTGATATGAGTTTACAGGGTGGGTTTCAAAGGGGAGAATTTCCAGCCACCATATTTAAGGATGCTCAGAAACTGTTAAGCTGAATTCTGTCCTTTTTTCCTTCCGACAGACTCTGCGCATCACCACCAGAAAGACTCCCTGCGGTGAAGGGTCCAAAACCTGGGATCGCTTCCAGATGAGGATCCACAAGCGCCTAATTGATCTGCACAGCCCATCTGAGATCGTCAAGCAGATCACCTCCATCAGCATCGAACCGGGTGTTGAGGTGGAAGTCACCATCGCAGACGCATAAGCACTGCAGATTTTTCAATAAAGAAAAGGAAAAAGTACACCGTTGTGGTTTTTTGTTTGTAAAACATAGGCCAAACTATAGGAGGCTATTAAAAGAAAGATGGTGAGCCGGTCTGGTTCCATCACTGTCGAGTTTAAACATCAAATTTTCATGGAAATGAAAATAGGCAATCATTTTTACTATCTGACCTGACCTCAACTAGCCCTAATAAAGAAAAGATAATTTGTCTCACTGCTTGCAAAGTGATAATGATTCCCTTTTCATAGTTTTATAAAGTGTTGCATATGTTTAATATAAGGTAAAAAAAACTAGTGCATTTGTCTTTTTCTTTCCCACCTAAAAATTAACCTTTATCAGTCATGTGTTATGTTCTAATTTTGTTATTTAAAAAAACTTATGGCGCACGTATGTAATTGTGGCAGGACTTCATTAGATTGGTTTCTCAGGCCTTTTTTAAATTTTTAGTGCTAAAGTCCAATATCGGCTGTAATTGTGGCTTAATTCACAGTAATGTAGATATATTTTTCTTAAACTTTTTTTTAAAATGGCAGTATGCTTTTTGTGAATGAAAAAACAAGCTAAGGACAAGATGACGGATGGGAAATCTAAACTATTAAATTCAACATTGGTCTAGGAGCTTCAACTGTGGAATTTAACAAAAAAAAACGCGGATAATGTGGCCAGTGAAAGTAATGTTCTGCATTGTTTTCTTTTTTCATAATATTTAGTTTTGAAGATTGTGTCTGAAAAATGCATCAATACCTTCTGAATATGTTTTACACAGGTTTTTTTAGTCAAATTACAAAAAAACACTTAATAGCCTCCCTTTTTGTTTTTCTATTATATGACAAATAATTTAAATTCGCTAAAAAGCTTACATGTTATTATTTTAATATAATATAGTATTAATAAATTCGACAGCTCCTCTTAAATCAATGTTCTAGTCATATAATTATTTTACAAAGTGTTTGACAGGGGCCAGGGGGACTTCTTCTTTTTCCTCCTCTACTCCTTTTTCTTCTTCTTCTTCTTCTTCTTGGCTAAACCTCGTGGCGGCACGTTACTGCCACCAGCTGGTGTGGTTGGGGGCGGTCCCTCTGAGCTGATTGGTTCCACCTGACGGCGTGCTGCGGCTCACACCTGTTTCTGATAAACGTGATTACGGGTCCTCCGCGGTTTCCGGGGACAGAGAGTCAGTAGAACTCACTACAGCACACACACTTTTCTACAAACAGAAAGAGAGGCTTTTTTCTATCCAAAGCAGTGCAAAAGTCCCTGCCTCTAACATATGAATATCAGAGATGAGTACATTTATTGATTCAACCAAGATGGGGAGTGACTGCATGCAGCTAGTTGACATGGACATGACTTGTGATGCTTTTAACAACCCTTCAGAGCAGCAAGTAAATTTAAATGTTTTCCCCCATGCCTTTATTTCAACCACACAATACTTAGCAGAGCTTCCTCTGTTAGCCCAGGTTTGTTAACTGTTTGTCTGTATTTGTTAGACTGACATGTCTGATGGGTCTGAGCAGCAGATGATGAGCGTTTACCTCAGAGTTAGGCCTTTTTCTAAGGAGGAGCTCGCTGACAATGAAGATCAGGTACAGTACTGTGTGTTATGCTGTTCCTCTACTTTTTGCCTGTGTAATGAGTTAGAAATTGGGTATTCTGCTTCATTTTATTTATTTATTTATTTATTGGTTGATTTGTCTCGCAATGTAATCTGAATCATACTTTTTCATCCAAAAATAGGGAAAGATTTGTTTCTGGGTTTTTTGTTTTCTATGTTTTTTTTGCTGTCAACCCTCAAACTGCAGCTCAGGTTGGGGGTTAACTGGTTCCAACTATTTTTGTCTAAATAATCTATATTTCACTCTAGAGTATTTATTAATAGATGATGGTACTAATTCTGTTTTGGGGGTAATTATTATTATTATTCACCAGGAACAATTGTAGAGATCACAGATCTTTTTTGCAACTGTTTCTGTCAGACAACGGCAACTTAATATACACTGACAACTTTTACATTAAGGTAATGCTCAAAAACAAAGAAAATAGAAAATACTACTTTACAATATGAAAAGTAATGACTAAAGATGATTAAACACCTGTACACTTCAGTTTCTGCCACTGTCGAATCAGATCCTTTTTAGGATTTACTTTTATTAATCAGAAGCATATTTCAATACTCTTGATCCCAATTCACCGAAAAGAAACAGACACTGGGGAGTGATTTTCAGGGTGGTATGCAAACATACAACTGTCATTATGAGTCAAGTAAAATATTGGAGTTCGGTACATGGGTTTTAAAAATATGTTAGACACTGAACTGAAGTCTGAAATGTCTGTGCACGATGGAGTCGGCACCTTTTATTCCAGCTAGCTACTCACCTTCTCTTTACTTCCCCATTAGTTTGTTTGGAGCTGTATAATGTTTTTTTCCTCTTTAGGACTGTGTTGTGATAGAGGACAGCCACACAGTGACCCTCTACGCACCGAGAGGTTCGGCCACTATGAAGAGCAGTGAGAAAGGAGTTGGAATGTCAATCCACAAATTCTCCTTCTCGCAGGTCAGAAACATCTAAAAATCTTTAGGGTAGACTGTGCCACCTGGAGGAATAAACCCCAGAAAATAATCTGAATCTTTGACCTAGTTAAGGCACTCAGCTTAGTACAGAGGAGGCAGAGATGTGCTTTAACAAACCTGGAGTATATTCACGAGCCCTCCTTCATAGACAAGCGTGTACATGTGCTTCAGCCCCATCGGTCTGTGTGCTCTCAGATTTTTGGGCCGCAGACGACACAAGCCGAGCTGTTCGAGGGCACCGTCAGAAGCCAGACGTCTGATTTCTTGGATGGAAAGAATGCTCTGATCTTCAGCTATGGGGTAACAAATGCTGGCAAAACCTTCACAATCCAAGGTACGAGCTGATGGCAGAGACATTTATTTCTAAGCTTCAGTCTCAAAAGCCGTCCTAAAACCAGGTTGTAAAATCCTATTAGGAACCTCGAAAGAGCCTGGAATCCTCCCTCGAGTCCTGGAAGCCACCTTTGACTACATAGGAGGTTATCAGTATGAAGAAATGGATTTAAAGCCCTACCTCCGGAACGGCGCACAGTGTCTGGATCCTGACCAAGTCAGACACGAGAGATCGGTCAAAGCGGCCATTTTTTCCTCAGTCAGAGAAGTGATTCGGCTTTTTCTTTCCTTTTCTCACTTAGTAAAACCAAAACAATCGCAGATTGTTCCGAAGATGTCATAACACCAATGTGTTTTCATTCCCATCCAGGAATGTGATCGCCCAAGAACAAATAGCAGCTCGGAGTATTTGGCCTCCCCTGATCCTTGTCTCGCTTCCCTGGCTGTACCCAGCAACCAGACGGGTAACTAAACCTACCACACACCACAAACACATCCATCACATCCGATCTTTGGACGTCTCAGTTTAGATTCTCTGTCAGGCAGTATAATAAACTGATGAGCTGCTTTAATGGGAGTGTGCTTAAAAGTAAAATGAACCACCTCTATGGTCAGAGGGCTTCAGGCAGTTCAGAAGAAAGGAGGTACACGTGTGTCTTGTGTCTTGTGAAATTGCTTGTTAATCCCAAATCATAAAAAATGACAATGGGCGAGGGATTTGTTTGTATGTGTGGTTTTCATGTAAAACTGCCCCAGGAATGTTTGAAGTGAAGTTAATTGACATTGCACCCGTATTCCCCCTGAAACCAGTTTGATGTGTTTTCTGCTTCTTTCTCTTGCTCCCTCTTCAGTGCTGTCCAGTAAATCGGCAGAGGGAAGCACCAATCAGTTTGCCTTATGGGTGGCTTTCTTTGAAATCTACAATGAGTGCGTGTATGACCTCCTCCAGCCACCCCTGTCCAAGAAGCGGGCTTCTCTTCGCGTTTGTGATGACGGCGCTGGAAACGCTTACGTTAGAGGTGTGATGTCCACAGCATCTGGTCCTCTTAGCGACAAACCCCCCCCCCCCCAAAACTTTGTCTCTTTTGCTAATTTTTTTTCAGACCTCAGATGGATCAACATCCATAATCTGAGCGAAGCCTGCAAACTGCTCCGATTTGGAAATAAGAACAGAAGTGCCGCAGCTACTAAGATGAACCAATCATCCAGCAGAAGGTACACTTTTTATATATATATATATATATATATATATATTGTTCTTGTTTTTTAAAACTCAAAAAAAAAAAAAGAATAAGCTTTTTTCTCTTTTTTTTTTTTTCCACAGTCACAGCATATTTACCATGAAGTTACTGAAGATTGATGTTGATACAGTTGAAAGGATCTCTGAGTAAGTACCTGCTAGCATGAATAAGCCTGTTTGTAGTATTCTATCTGTCATGAAATCAGCTTTTTTTTTAGAAAGCTGTTGGAAATGGCTTTATCAATTTACCTTTTTAACGTGAATAGAAAGTAATTGTACAAAACCTACAGAGCCCTTTATGTGGACAAAAGATGGATGTATTTCAAAGAGAGTGGAGAAAACAGACATGAGTATCACTTGCATGTTTTGTTTTTGTTTTTTCGGGCAGGTTTTCTCTCTGTGACCTGGCCGGCTCTGAAAGATGCCACAGAACAAAGACCTTCGGAGAGAGACTGAAGGAGGCCGGGAATATAAACAACTCCCTTCTCATTCTGGGGAAGTGTATCAACGCCCTTCGTTCCAGTCAGACTGACAGGTGCCTGCATTTTGCTTCTTGGATACTTGGAAATGAATTCCATTTATGCTCCTGAGTGAGTAAATTGGACAGATGACTAATAATCATCTGTGTGCTTATACCCATCAGAACGAAGAGCAGCTACGTCCCTTTCCGAGAAAGCAAGCTCACAAAGCTCTTCCAGGCTTTTTTTTGCGGCAAAGGAAGGGCCTCCATGATTGTGAACATCAACCAGTGTTCCTCCACCTACGACGAGACCCTCCACGTCATGAAATTCTCGGCGGTGGCCAAACAGGTTGGCTGCAGCAGCACTCAGCGGGATGAGTTAATCAGAGAATCTGAGTGAGCTGCAGCGCTAATCTCTGCTGTGCTTTGCTGGAGGTGGTGCAGGTGATCCCAGACAAGCCAGCGGAATCTCCGGCCCCCTGTCTGGTTGGTCGAGATGGAAAGCCTCTGGTCAGGAATGGCGTGATCGACAGCCGGGTCCTAGAGAGCTACCTGTCCGAGGAGGAGTTGCTCGATGAAGAAAACGATGCCGACGTGACCGTGCTGCCGCAGAATGTACAGAAACCGTTCTGTCGCTTCCACGTGCAGAACTAAATGTTTTTTTTATTCATAACTTAAAATAGGGATTGAAATGAATGCAACCAACTGAAATATGTGCAAACATACTGAGATATCACATGAAAATCTGGTTCTATGAAAGCAAACTATAAAGAAAAAAGGCTGTATCAAGACTGTTTGCACAGTATAAAGTATCATACACATTGTTTCTTCTTCCATCAGTCATCATCCAAGCATTTTACCCTAAATTTCTGAAAACATTTCATTCACCTTGAATTGCCATGAGGTGGAAATTCAGTTCCTCCCGATCAATGCTCATCTAAATTCACCACGTTGCTGATATCTTTTCTGCATTTGATAAAGGAACTTGTGAACATGATCGATAATCTGCGAACAAAGCTGCTGGCGGAGCGAAGGAAAAACCTGGTTCAGGAAATGGAAATCCGCAAGGAAATGGGAGACGCCATGCTGCAACAGCTCATGGAGAGCGAAGAGCTGCGCACGTACGTTACCCGTTACGTCATCCGCCCGCCAATTCAGTAAGTTAACCTCACATCTTAACCGTTTAAGTCGACAGTTGGAGGAGCTGAAAGAGAGTTACGCGGAAAAGCTAGAGAACACTTTTGAGATGTACAAAGACGCCATTAAGGAGCACGCTTACCAGTGTGCCATGAACAACCTGGAAGATGACTACGTGCCACTGGATGAGTTCACTGCTGAACAGGAGAAAGTTGAGGTACGTTGTTCTGTTTAGGTTTTTTTTTCCCCCTTTTTCCAGCTCAAATCAGACAAATATTTTTTGAGACTCATATTTTTAAACTGTACTTTTATTTATGAATGTTCCCAAATCTATATCATGTGGTCAATGTGAAACCTAACATGGCCGCCTGAAAACTAAAAATGTAGTTGTGTTCTGCTGGATTTACTATGAGAGCATCAGATTGTCCTTGTACCTAATGTGCAGGCCCTGAGACGTAAAGTCTCAGAGTTGGAGGCTTTGGCATCCGGCACAAGTCGTGTTTCTGGAGGGCCAACAGTGGACCAAGCCTGTCAGACCTCCCCATGCAAGGATGCAGAGGAACCAGGTGAATGCACTCTTGATGATTTTTGTTTTTTTTTAATGGCAACAATGTCAACCCCTCTTCTAAACAGGGGGCCAGCGATACAGTTGGCTACATAAGGAAAAATGTGCCCTCGAAAGAATATGCGAGGACAAGCAACAGGTACGGGAAAGTGACCATAACTTCTCAGTTCAATTTAGTTTCAGTCTGATACTGTAATCTTGTCACCGTTTGGTCTCTAGTTGATTTTGTCCCTTGAGAAAAGACTGATGGAGCTCAGCAAAACGTTACAGGGCGTCAGAGACAGCTACCTGGAGAAATCGGCTGATCTGGAGTCTCTGCAGACCAAGGTTGACCACCAGGTGAGACCACAGACGTTTATTAAATGGCACAATGTACATGCATTGTTTAAAGAGGGTTCGACATGCAAAAATAAACTTTTTTTTAAATTAATTGTTCAAATTCCAAAAGTCAAAGTCCATCGCAGACCTCGTACAGCAGAACGTTGAAAAGGACGGCGAGATCGTCTCGCTCAAAGATCAACTGGCCAAGCTCTCCCAGAAGTGTTCGGCGCTGCCAAAAGCCAAGCGAGGGCTGCTCGACAACATCAGGGAGGCGGTGACGTCACCCCGGAGGGGTACGCCGAGCAGAGTCCTCAGGAGAACGGGGAAGGCTGTACAGACCTGAAACTCCCGGTAGCAGAAGTGGATCTGGAGGGATTTAAATCCTTTTTTTTTTTTTAAAGTTTTGCTTGTTTACTTTGGGAAAACCATGGATAATTTATTGTATATAAAAAGTGTTGTCTTTTTTTATGTTCATGAAATGACTATAAATCACTTTTAGATGCAAATATTTCAAAGTAGCTCTGCGTGTTGTTTCATGCGAGCGCCACTCGGTCAGTGCCATTGAGGTCACCGCCTAAGGTAGGAAGCAGGGGACGGTTTCTCTTTGTGTCATGCTTTTTCTGCATGGACACCTTTTGTTGCGCCTTGCACATGCATGCCTCGGCTACAAAGTTGCCACTGCACTTAACCAGAGCATGAATGTGTGTCTTTTGCGTGGCTCCATTTGGGAGAGGGGTTTACGGCTGCCCGAGGGCCGGAGAGGGGTGTCGGTCTCTGCACACACATAGTGGACGACCACTCACGTCTGAGAGCTCTTACTTTATCTTTCTCTTCTTTTTTTAAAACGGATAGCCATGTTTTAGTGTATAAAAATATGTTGTACATATCAAGAATTTAATAAAGACTTTTTAAAGTACTGAGTCTTGTCTGTTCTGGGGAAGTGTGAAGGATGATGGTTCTAAACCCACCTTCACATGTAACTCTGTCCTTAAATGGTCTTGTGGTCGGGGCTATGTTGCATAATGTTTAAAGGATCCTCATCTTGTGAAAATGTTAAAGACCACTACTTGGGTTTTAGTTTTTATATCAGGATTTTCTGCACAAAACAGGAATAATCAGAGTCTGAGAATATTACATCTAAAGCACTGCTTTCCACTACTTTACATCACATTTTCTGATTTAGAAACCCGCAATGGTTAAAATTTGCCATGACCTTTAACCTGATTAAAGTCTCATATTTATTTAACCAAAAACAGCTATGCCTTAACTACTTTTTCTTTTGTCACATACCCCATGAATTATGACAGTTTTTACAAACCAGTCTCTTTAAAAGACCAGAATCAGCTGGATATAAGCATTTGCATGATTTGAAATATGGAAATGTAGTTTTTTATCCCTAGTAAAAGTATCCTTAATGTCGGTTTACAATATCAATTTGGATTTGACACCTAGTTTACTGACTCCTTAAGTCAGATATATATTTTTGTATTTGAAAGTTTTATCTAATTAAAGTGAAAGGCATTTGTAACTCTGGCTAAATTAATATTATCATTTTATTGTATTTGTATTATACATTGTATTAATCCTCAGCCAACACAATTTAGGATGAATCTTTTCTTTTGACTAACAGGAGATTCTTTGGAGTGGGATTGACCCTTGGAGTGGAGTGAAAGAGGTGTAGCCAGTGTGGAGGGCTTGAAGCAACAGAGCCCAGCCTCCTCAGTCTGAGAAAGGACCATCGTGGTAGGCGGCCAGCTGCTCTCCTATCAGTCGGGTCTCAGTGATGGTTAATGAGATTAGCTGTATATCTTAGCTTGCGTCAGTGCAAAGGGGTCAATCACAGGATTAGCACCTTGCTTAAGAGTTACATCAGTTTATCATACTTTTTCTTTATTAGTTTGACTTTCTCACAGCGGCCTCCAAACAATGTTTGGCAAGTTTAATTGCAAACTAGTTGTAGGAGGGGAATTTTGCTCTGCAACATGCCGCCTCGGGACTGAGTCTGTCCGGACTCTCAGCTGCTGAATGAGGCGTCTTCCAGGGAACCAAGAGGAGCAGGGGCAGCCAGAAAAGTGAAGGGGCAGTCGGGCCAAAATCTTGCCTGCTGTGCCAGAGTCTGAGACTCTGGTCAAATCATCCTCATGCCACTTGTAAATAACAAAGTTGGCGATGAGTGCACAGCTGGCAATAACAAGGCTTTGGCAGATGGAAAGGCTTTGGTGGATTCTTTGATAAAGGTAAGCCGCTGTATGGTTTCCATTTTTCTCCAGGTCAACACTGAAGTATATTTCTGTTGGGTTTATTCCGCAGTGACGTGCAGAATCTTGTCCTCATGTGATTTCTTTTTATTTGATTCATTTCTGTCACAATATCATCAACATTGTACTGAGTTTGTAATGCTGCAAAATATTTAGTCCCTCTGTTTTTACATGATGTTTTGCAGACTGCATATACAAGAACAACAGAAAAATATTCCCCCTCCAGCTAAAAGGGCACTCTCACTGAAAAGAATTTCTTGGTCCACTGAGTCTTTGTAGCCGCACTCTGTTAATGCACCAGTTAATGCCATGACTACGCCTTTCAGTTTTTATAGTTATAGCAGTATCTATTGTGTTAAGTCTATTTTTTTAACTGTGGGTTATTATTTTACATATTGTCAATTCATCTAGCAGAATACATTGTGAACAGTGAACTGCAAGTTGCAATTCAGATAAATAAATAGATAAACCTCTGGATAATAATAATAATGAAATTGCTCCCCTGGTAAAATTTGAGAGGATGTTGCAGCTGCTTGTGCACAGAGAAAAATACAGAAGTAATGAATTATTGTGGGTAAAATTTCAGTCAAAAGTAATTATAAGTTAGATTTAGTTTTTTGGAGTTAAAATAAGCTCTGCAAAAGAAGATGAAAAATATTTTTAATATTGAGATTTATGTTTTTATTGGATTTATTTGACATTTGAATCTAAATTAACATTTCATAAAGTAGGCGATGGCATGCATATTTAGTACATTTCTGTTGTATTCCTTTTTGCTTATTGTCACCCCCATGAAAATGGGCCACTGATACTCTGACTGTGCAAGGTTGTTTTGGCTTATCTAGAAATAGACCAATGATAATGAGATTATATATAATATTTTTAATGAATGAAACCACGCCAGCTAATCCTTCAAGGTTAAGCTAATGGCTATTAATAAAACACAGCGTATGGTTAATAGCACAGAACTTGTCAAAATGTTGTTGAATATTTCAAATGCTCCAGTTATTGTTTTGAGGGGATTGGAGAGCTGGTGATGACAAATGTTTTCCCCTTTCAAAGGTTAAAGGATGTGTGATTATTTTCTTTTTCAATGTAATAATTTTTCGGTGGATGGATTTTTAGATGGAGATTTGATAAGAATTAATTATTGTTCATAGGGATATAAAGAAAGATCTAATTAGGTTAGTGGTGTTATGTATACCTGATCAGGGGCCACGTCACCAACTAGGGAACTGCTGTTGCCAACGTGTACTGGAAAGATGCAGAACTTTTCCTCTGAAGTCACTTTTAGATTCCACATTCCAACTGAAAACAATAAAACTTTGTTATTTCTTTTTCTCTCACAAAGGTGGTGGCATGTTACCGGCACTTAGCCTCGTGTGTTGGTGGGTGCACAGATAGCTTACAGCTACGCGATGAGTTGCGGCAGACTCGAGAAAAGGCCCAAAAGCTGTCTGTGGGCACCTGCCATCACCTGACCTCTCACCTCCGGGACAAGAGCCTGCCGGAGGAGCACCGGAAAGAGATGGAGCTTCTCTGGGTGGCCTTCTCCTCCAGTCTAGAGCTCCTGCATATTGACATGTGCAAAGTTTTTAACATCGGAGATGTTTTCTCTCTGGCTAACACGGCGTCCCTGGTGCAAACCGGCCTACAAGGTAAAGGATTTGCCTGAATGGTCCTGTGTGGTCTCTTGGTGCACCAGAGTAAAAAATGCACCAGTTTATTTTTATGAACTGGTGCATACCTTAGCAGTTAATTGATCCACGTAAACATTACAGGATATGATTTAAATATTAGTGTTTCTTCAAGTCAAAGCATCATGCTGGCAGCTTGGTTTTACAATGCTCAGAGTATAAAGGGGGAGCTGCTATATAGGTGTTTTGGTTTGTTTTTTGTGGTGCTTTTAGATGCAAAAAACAAACTAATACCAGAACTATCAAATCTGGAAATGTGTAAAGACTCAGATAAGTGCCTTAGCTGCTATTTTTTCTCTAAAATATTCACTAACCATTATCAGCAAATTTTCAAGTAGTTTTATTTCTTCTCTACGCATTTCTAGAAGTGGAACAACAGCTGCAAGATTTGGTCTTGGCACTTGAAATTAGGTCATTTTGCTTTTTGGATACCTCTTCTCTTTAGGCAAAATACATCTGAATGAGTACCAAAGAAAAGAGCTTCTTAAAACACTTCCACAATGATCAGTAGCTATTCTTTTGCCTTTAGGCTGTTGGATTTGAATTTTTGGATTGATAGATTAACTGATTTCAATATGCAATTGATGCAAAGACAATTTGTCAAATAATATGCCTAAATTCTGTCACTGCAAGTACTTCAAACCACCCTTGAGGAATGAGGAACTGAAGGCCCGTTTTGTGTGTGCAGGTGGGGGCAGTGAGGTGGCGGCCCGCGCCCTCAGTATGCCGGACCTGAAAGAGGCCCAGCCGGCGGCCCTCCCCGCTGGCCTGGAGGGCGAGGAACGCATCACCATGGAGCAGGAGATCAGTCAAATTGACCATATGATCGACGACATGGAGATGAAAGTCAACGTGTTGCGCTGGATGGTGGAGCCCCATGGGCCTCAGTACGCAGAGCCGCTCGGCAGCACCGACAGCGCCTCCATAGCCATGTTCTCTGTGGACGAGGAGCAGCCCGGCCAAGTCCACCAGTCCCTATGCCAGCGGAGTCACATCTTTGTGCTCTTATTGCTATTCGCTGTTATTCTAGTGGCAGCCATTTTATCTGCCTGTGTTTACCTTTTATCGTAAACAAAACAAAAAAAAAACCTTAAAATACTCAACTTGTGTTTTTCTGTGCAACCTCAGAAACGCTCAGAAACACTAAAAAAAAAATGGCGAGCTTTGCATGTACAGTAGTTTCCTCTTTACAAACTTTACATTCCTACAAACCATATGACGACAACAAAACGATTTACTGGGGAATAAAGTTTAAATACAGTGAAGTTAATCTGGATTCTGACCAGGTTGCCATTTCTTGCAGTTACTCCAAACTGCCATAGTTTTTTCAAAGATCTCTGATGACAAAAGTGACGATAAAAGTGCATGGCTGCCAGTTAGAACTTGTTTACCAAAATAAACTATAGGAGAGGGGGGGTTATTCTACCTCCTTAAATGTAAAAAGAGAGCTTATATTTTCCTGTGTATCTTCCTGACTGCTTTGTGATACAATATGATTTTAGGAAACTGTAAGAAAGACACTTGTCACTTTTCCCCCCAGGTGCTGATGCTTGGTAGCGGATGTATTGTCATTAATTTCTGGATTTATTATCTATTTTGTATATAATCTGCATTGTAGAGAAATAATGACATACCATGCAATATAAAACATCAACTTTGACATCACAATGTTTTTTGTTTTTTTACTTTAATTGTCACTAGATAGCACTGAGGTCATTATGCATAATGTAAAACAAACACGTGAGAAAAAGGAGAGTTTAGAAAACTCTTTCCCTCAATGTTCTCAGCTTGCAAACGGATAAACATGATTAGAAGATATAATAGTCTTTAAGGCTTATGTGGCCTGTGAGACATTGAATATCAGTGGATTAAATCTTGTTGGCCCGCAGTTATACAATATCCATACTGATGTACACAGTTCAATCTGCTTTTCCTCGTATATATTGTACATAATTCTGCCTCTACAGAAATATTTGAGAAAAAACACGTTACAGTTCAGATGACGTATGAGGCGCCATTTTCTATTTATAGTAGTAGTAATACAATTTCACTTTTCACAGACCCGCAGTTTGAACTGGAATATCCAGCCACGGCAAGGGCAATTTTTATTTATTACTTATTTTCCTTTTCCGTCAGAGAAAGGTATTCACTTTATTTTTAAGGGTATGACCGGAAGTTCGCCAATTCCTCGTGAGCTTCACAATTCTAAAAACAGTAGTAGGTGAAAAGTTGCGATGCGAGCTCGATAGAGGCAGCTAGTACCTCCATGGTCCTCCATAGACGGAACAGAATTAGCCAAACTTGTTTCCAGTGGGACGACATTTAAAAAATGGTGCTCAAACAGTATCAGTGGCGGATTAAGCTGTTCAATTTGAACCATACTGGAAAGAAAGACAAAACTTTATTTCAGGACACGGCTTGTTTGTGTTTAGACAATCCATGGTGTCGTTCTCGGGCCGTGTCGACTTTGACAGGTGCCCGCACCACTGCAGTAGGTTTACTATGCACTGTCGGGCGATCTTTACGCAACTTAAAGAAGGCGCCACTGAGCGCGAGACGACCTGCAGGACTCCGGGGGACAATGGATATCTCCGCCGCGACACAAGTGTCACTCCGAGGTAAAGTAGTTCGTTTATACACTTGGCTTATTTTTGTCGTAAAACCCACTAACGTGCATCGAACCACACTCGGAACTTTAACTGTCGGGCTATGTCCGCGTGAAGTTCCATAATGTCAAAACAGAAGCTCTTCTCTGGTAAGTTTATATCAATGTTATACTGTGCTGGTTTAGTATTTACTCACACTGGTGTCCCCGGGTTTCTACACTCAGGGAATCTCGGCGAACCAATGAAAGACCAGCATAGTTAAGAGTAAAAACGTTGTCTCGGTGAACCAATGAAAGACCAGCATAGTTAAGAGTCAAAACTTTGTCTGTTATGGCCACAAAGGCGGGTCACTGTCAGATGTAGATAAGAATTCCCACTTCCTGTGACGTAGGCTATTGCAAAAATATGTGCTTTTCACTTCCTGTTGTAATTGCTGTAACCATTCTTGAAAAGGATGTTCAAGCATTGTCACGTGATTTATACGTTGCATTTAAGGAGTTTGGTTAAGTTTGTAACGACGTTGACTGATACTGTTCTTTTGTAAGTAGCTTGAAAGTTTAGAGTAGGCAACTGGACGTGAAGTTTTCTTCAGAAAAGGTGGTCTTAGACACAACCTGTCACCTACTTATAGAACATTTTAGGAACAATACCCAGAAAATTCACCTCTCACCTGACTCAAATTTCAAAGAGTCATGTGACCAAAACCACCTGGGTCAACCCATCAGAACCCCCTAAAGACCTCTATTGCCCATCCCGTTGGAGTGCCACGTTTTGTTTTTTCTTTTTTGCCCCCCTAATTCTGTGTTACACCGCAGAATATTAATCTCAGTGCTCCCCACCATCAGTTAGAACTGATGAAGCCTCTTTGATGAGATGCGAGACGTCTTCTAGAAAACGTCACGTCCAGTTGCCTAACTGAACCTTCAAGCTTGACCATGACCTGTATGACTGAGAATCTTCACAGATTTTTCAAGTAGCTGTTTGTCTATATTTGACTTTAAACATAGAGAAAAAAAGGGAAAGTTTTTTTCAAGTGCAGAGCCTTTTTCTGAACAAAAATGACCTATAAACATATTTGTTTTTTTTATTGGTGTGGATTCAATACCTTTATATCTCTGTTTTGCTTTCAGAGCTCAGCACCTCCGTTAGAGCCTTCCAGTATGACCTGCAGCCAGACGTGCCCAAAAGCAAGGGCCGGCAGCTGTTTTTTGACACGCACGCCATTGTGCGACTCTTTGAGGAAAATGGTTTGCTTTCCTCTACTACTGCAAGTGGTTTCCTTAGCATCTCTTAGTTTGATTGATAATAATCGGTGTGGATCTCTGTTGTACAAAGAAAAGCTGTATTTTGTCTTTTTTCTTTCTTCTCCGTCACAGGTTTTTCCACTCAGCAAGCCGAGACGATGGTTAAAGTGCTGATGGGAACCACAAATTCTAACATGGATGTCATTTATAGCGACATGGTAACCAAGGTGCAACAGGTGAGACAAAGGGACCAAGACCGGGTATTTTAGGTTGTGTTTGTGAAGGTGATTTTTAAATCTTGGATTTCAATGTTACAAACTGTCTTGATATGGTCAAAATCATCAACTGCAGACCAAAGATTAAGTCTCAATTCAACTAAATCCTACTTCATTTGTATAGGGCCAACAAACATTTTCTGTACGCATTTAAATTCAAACAGAATTAAATCCAATCCAATCTGTTCCCGTTAAAGTTATAGGTTAGTCTTATTCATGCATGTTTTACAGCTCAGGAACCCAGCTGGTTGAACTAAATATTTTCTTTGATCCAATCTCCATCCTGAGTGTGCACAATGCATCTGGGAAGAAACATTTTAACAGGAAGAAACGTCCAGAATTTTACTCGAGTAAGAGTATTCTTTCTCTAGGCTTATAATGTTCAAGTGAAAGCAAAGAGTAGTCAAGGAAAATGTATTTAGCTCTCTAACATCCTGCTGGTTGTTTCTGCTGTTTTTGTTTTTGCTACAAAGAAAGAAAAAAATCCATGGAAATATTTTCCCAATATTTTCTCTAAGTTCAAATGTTAAAGGGTTAAGTGAGTGAGTTTAAAACAGTGGTCTTTATATAAGAAAATATAAGAAATTGCAATAATTCAGATATTTTTAAACAATACTTTTAGACAACTAAAACGTTAAAAAAAGGATATACAAGCAACCAAATAGGTGATACAAAATTTTACATTCTCTTCTGGACTTTGAAAAATAGCTAATAAAGAAAAAGCTAAAAGAGGAGAAATGTGATATCTCCTAGCTTTTATCAGAACTTGTTGGCTGCAATCCACAATTCCTATACAGTGTTGTGCATTTTAAATCATCTCAGTTAGTCTCTGACTCTCAATATCTGTGAGGACGGGTTGTGTTTCCTCTAACTGGTGTGCTTTGGCTCTTTGTGGCTCAGTGTTGTCTCACCCCTGGTGTGCATCATGTTTACATTTTTTTTAACTCTTTCATGCGGCGTGTGTGTTTTTGTTTTTTTAAATGGAATTATTTCTATATTTTGCTGGCAGGAGATCATGATGCAGCAGGTGATGTCTCAGATAGTAGCGGTAAAGAAGGACATGATCATCCTGGAGAAGAGCGAGTTCTCCACTCTCCTGGCAGAAAATGAGGTAAACCTGTTTTGAGGGCACTTGAATCAAATTGGTACCGGTTGAATGCTATAAGAATGTTCAAGTGACCTAAAGTTGACTCTTTTTGTTCTAAGAAGTTGCGTAAGAGTTTGAATATTAAGCGATTGTCTTTTACTGTCCTATTGTAAATGGAAGTTCTTTTCCTTTTCTTTTTTCATCCTAAAACATTAGCCAGTTGGGCATCCATCATTTTATAGTATATAGTATATATATATAGTATATATATATATACTATAGGGGGGAGCCTACTCACATTTACTCCTCCTAATGGCATTTTAGAGGGGTCAATAAACTGTATGTATGTATGTTTTTGGAAGGTGAGAGTAGTGGAGTGAGACAGTTAATATGGATATACATCAACCATATGTGGGGTTAACCAGAAAAAGGCAGAATGCTCTCTCCAGGGTTGGGGATGAATCCCCTCTCCAGGGGGAGAACTTTAGATATCTGTGTATCTTGTGAGGAGGGAGCTGAGCTGGTAGGCAAAGATATTCAATTCCAGCCTTCGCAAGATGGCATGTATGACCCAGTGAGCTTAATATGGGGTCTAGAGCTGGTGATGCAAGCCGTTTTCAGGGGAACCTAAAACGAGTCAGCGGAGGTGGTTCTGGATGGATGGATGGATAGATATGTTGGATATATATAGTAATCATGTGCTACGCCTGCCTATTTCTTATCTGACACTTTCAGTATTTTAACATTTCTCTCAGAAACTCAAGATCCAGCTGGTACAGCTCAAAGTTCAGCTCGCTGTGAGTGTATTTATTTATTAGTAACCTCAGATTTGAGTTTGCATACGTTGTTTTTGTTTTGTAAGCAGCTGTTATGCCCTCCCTTTTCTCCGTATGCTGCAGGATGTGATGAATAAAGTGCGCTCAGATAACATCCTGGACATTAATTTGGAAAAAAGCCGCGTAAAAGAACTGGTAAGTACTTCAACACTTTAACAACAGGTATATCATATTTGATGAGTAGATTTCTGCATGGTTAAAACGTTTCCTTTAAAAAAAACTGTTGAATAAAATAATCCCTCATTTATAAGTTCCAATTAAAAAGATAGAGAAACATATCATATCCAGTTCAATAAAAAACTAATTATTCTTAACTGATCAATAAACAATGAGAGTTTTCTGCCCATTGCGTTTTGTGGTCTGGCCTTAAAGGGTTAAGAAAAAAAGTAATGTGATTTAAAAACAGTTCAGATGAAAACTGCTAATTGTATGAAATTTGAATTTGATTTTTTTTAAAGACGGGCTGGTTCACCACATCGTTCATCCCTAAGTTATTTTCTCTTTAGAGGCATAGTTCTTACACTCACGATGTGAGTCCTAAACCTCCCCCATCCATGCTTATCAACCATTGATACTTTTAAGGATGCTCCTTTTGCACCCAGTCAAAGTGTTCGCCTGTTTCCAAATGACCTGTTTGCCTGCAGAATCTTCCAAACTGCAGTCATTTTGTAGCTTTTTTTTTGCAACATCACATGTATCAAATTCAACACGAGAGAATGTTTATCAAAACCATTAACTTGTATCGGTTTGCACATTAAAGGCCATGAGTGTTATACCGAATGCAGTTAGGTGGAAAGTGGGTTCTTTAACCCAGAAGTTGTTTTTGGGCAAATCTGACCCGTTTCAACAGTTACTAGAACTCTCCTTTTCTTTTAGATAATTGCCTGAATATTGCAATAATAGTTTCTTACAAAAGTATTTTTGTTGCCGCAAAAATATAAAATGGTTTTCCATCAAATTGTCATCATCTAATTGTAACATCAGGGAAAGAAATTCTGAATTTCAGCTTTTTTTTTGTTTAAATGAGGTATAACTGTCAGCAAAAGAGGCCTATTATACCCTTTCAAAGAAACAAGTGAGAAATAAATTACAATGTGTTGGAAACAGGGTAACTAAAGGAGTGAAATAAGAACTTTGGTGCTGTTTCATTTACTTTGATTTAATTTACTATACAATTCAACACGGGCTTATGTGGTCCACCGAAAACACTGATGTCCACAGCTTGTCCACGATTCAGCTTTACATCTTTTTTGTTTTTCTAGAAAGTAGAACACGAAAAGAAGCTTCTGGAGACACGAACAGAGATCATGGAAATGGTTTGTATCCATTCAGAAAATCCCACTGCAGTTGTTTCCAAATTCTCCCCACTGTTAATAGTAGTATTAACAACATAGAAGTAATATTATCAATAGTTTTTTATGTTTTTGTCGTTGTGTTTTTTTTCTTACAGACGTCAGAGCAAGATTGCCATTTGACTCAGACAAACATGAAAATAGACACTGAAGTAGCCGGTTTAAAAACCATGTTAGAGGCACATAAACTGGATACGATAAAATATCTGGAAGGGAGGACCAGGCAGTGGGGTTTTTTTTTTTTTTTTTTTGGGGGGGGGGGGTTACTGGCTCCTTTTTTTCTAATTGAGATGAACTCTGTCTTAAATGTAACCTTTTGTTGACCTCAAACTCCAAAGGAAGGTAGAGATTTAGTGGAAATGGGAAATGGTTGACTAACCATTGAGGTCTTGGTTAGAAATGTGAGGTCGTCATATGGTTTAATTGAGGCCACTCTGAAATTCTTTCTCTTCTCTTTCAGGGTCAGTGTTCACCTGCCTCACTGTGGTCTTGGGTTTTTATCGTATTTGGATGTGATGAAGACTCAGTTTAGAATCTTGAATCTAAACTTAATCCTCCCACAACATTCGAGGACTAGTTACTTTTTTTTTTACTGTACTTATTTAAAAAAAGAGAATTTTTTGTACTTGATCCCCTTTAAAACAGAAGTCTGTGTGTTCTTTTTAAAGTGTGATGGGGAAATTCCTCTTGTTTTTTGTAAAGAATGTTTTTCTTTGTGATATTTTTCACATTTCTGTATGCTTTCTTTATTCAAAATAACAGGAATTCATGACTGTGCTTAACAGGCACAGTGGCAGTTCACATAATGCAAGAACCATGAAGATTCCTTTTTTCAAAGATGTTTTAAAGAGATTATGATCAGTTAATTCCAGGGTGTCTCAAAACTACTTCAAGACAACACAAAAGATTTTTTTTTAAAAACTCTTACTGACTTTAATGATTAAAGAAAATCTTTTTTCTTTTCTAATTTTTTCCTTATTTTCTTATCAGTCACATCACTGAAAGGTTTCTCTCTCTCTGTCAAATGTTTAATACCAACCTCTCTTTGATGCAAATGTTTGTTTTCCATATAAATATTAATTGTCAGTTTTCAGAGAATGTATCAGAACCACTCCTCTGTCTTTGTAAAATATCTTATTTGTATTATTTTCTGGTTTATTTTTGGACTGATTGTGTTTATATTTTGAAATGAATCAATTGTCAATAAATACAAATATTTTGCTACAAACATAAAACTTTTGTTAAAACTTACTCTTCGCCTTAGTTTTCTGTTTTAAGGCACAAAATATATAGGAGCGTAAATTACTATGTAAATATGACTTCTAAGTGTTTAAATCTGGTCAATCGTAAAACAATTTGCAAATGTTGGCAGTTAGGTTTTTCTTTACAAGTCCATATGCTCTTTCGGAAATGGATGAGTAAACTATGCAAGCAAAAGTGAACACTCCATGTAATCTAAATGAAGGCGTTATTTTGAAAAACCTTTGAACCGGAAGTGTTTCCATACGAGTCACTGTAGCGTTTATTTCGCACGTGCAAAGGTTTCTTAGAGGCATTTACTGGCTAGTTACATTCTTCATGACAACATATTTTCAGTTTACGTTTAGGTATTTTTTGGTTTCGTGATTACAAAATGTAAAGTTTTAAACGGTAACGTAATAATTTAGCTTGGTTAGCATTGACACCAGAACCCAGCAACACTGAAAAGTAAGCGGTCTTATATGTTTTAGTTTTTTTAACTATAGTGTAAATACACCAAAAGACATGGATCTGCTAGAGTTTAGATAAAAATGAACTCTGCTGATGTGCGTGGCTTTTTAAAATAGCAAAAAGGTTGATTTCCGCTAACATTTATTTGTGTTTTTTGCAGGCGATTTCAGTCATTTCCCGTAGGGTCATGGCTGATGCGTTCAGTAGCAGCTCGGAAACCGTACTACAGCGTGCGGTGGACGTTAACGTGAAGGCGAATACCCCCGTGGAACAGCTGGAAGAATTCTATCAGATTGGGAAAACGTGTGAGTTCATCCGTGAACACGAGTTTGGGAAGGTGAGAGAAATTTTCCTTTTTCACATGGGGCAGGCATTTACTCTGTACGTCGCTTTGGATAAAAGCTTCTGCTAAATGCATACACATAAACATTCTTGGTCTTTCAAACTTTTTTTCCATTTAATTACAAAGGCATTTATGGTCGACCTGTTGAGTTAGTCTTTTATTAGTTTATTATTATTTTTTTTTTTTACCGGTTTGCTTAAATGTTTAATGGTTTTAAAGGAGATTATTTTGATTTTTTTAAAACAAAAATCATTTATGATTTTTTTTAACAGGTTGCATTGCAGTTTCCTGATGATCTGCTGGGGGATTCTGTGGCAATAGCAAGAGAGATAGAGAAGAAGTGTAACGCCAAAACATTTATTTTGGGAGATACATCTTATGGCAGGTAATATATCACAAATTATTTTTTTCCCCTTATGTCCATCGACCTTAAAACTGTGTTTGTTTGTTTTTGCCTAATGGAGATGGACTCTTGGTCAGCAGAGTCCCTCTGAATAGAGAATAGAGATAAAATAGACTTTTTGTCTCATTTTAATTCTTTTTCCAGCTGTCTTTATGACCCCTTCAGCATTATGTTGTATGGCTGTATGTATGAAAGCCTTGAATTATTACCTTTTCATTAATATTTCTTTCGGTGTATTTTTAAAAAGACGTTTTACGTTGCATTTCATGACATTAGGGGGAGCCAAATGTTTTCCAAATTGTCAGTGCAGCTTTTACCACCGAGGGCCCATCACAATAGAAGAATTCCTACCTGTTCATTCAGACAGACTAGTGGCAGAAACACTTTTCATTTTAATATTGGTTATACACCCATTTTATGTATTTATTTATTTATTTAGAGATTTCCTTTTCCCTTAAAGAGAAATTTCGAATGTTCTGCTTTTGGCCCTTTGGATTTGTGTTCACATTTCCAGTAAAAAAAAAAAAACATCCTCCTATTTTGATTAACTGTATTTATCTTGTACATATTTGTTAACACAAATAACTTTTTTTTAAATGAGTTTTTTGGGGGGTTTGTGTCAGTTTTGCTGTTCTCTTTGGTCCTGCTCAGTTGCTGTGTGGACGAGGTGGCTGCAGAGCACGCTGGAGCCGACTGCATCGTGCACTACGGCGCGGCCTGCCTCAGCCCGTCCAGAAGGCTGCCCCTCCTCTACGTCTTTGAGAGGAGAGCGCTGGACCGGGAGGCGTGCGCCGCCGCCTTCAGAGAGCTTTACCCCGACACGGAGAGCCACATCGTTGTGCTGTACGACGTCAACTACGCTCACGCTGTGGGTATGTATCCCCAAAAATAGGTCGTCTTTTATTTATTTTTAAAATTCAATTAAAAAAAATTATTTAATTAGAATGTATTTATTTAAAATAAATGACTTAATTACGACAGTGTATTAGAGCCCCATTTAAAAAAAAAATTGATTATGAGAATAAAAGTCTATTCTATCTAGTATATTCCATCCTCTTTTAGAGGAGGAGAGTTGATAAAATGAAGGCAGTGGAGCATGGATTTTTGGAAATGTAATTTAGGTTTCCCACACAAGGAGATTCTTAATCTTTTGGGACATCAGCATCAGGAAGTTAAAAAGAACAGGCAAGAAAATACACCTTTTCCAAGAAAGAACCAGGCGGACTTGGAGGAAATGCTTTTGTGGAGGGGAAATGGCTGGAAGTGATTGACTGCACGGTTATTGTGGATTCATCAGCGGGCCAATCAGAGGGGGTTTATTTTCAGCATATTCAAAAATGACTTTAATCTTGTAATTAATTGCAAAAAAACCCACTTTTTTTATAATCTGGCCTTTATACTCTGTCGTACTGCACGGCAGGAGAACAGCTGCTTAAAAAATATATATTTTCCTTGTTTAAAAAAAAAAAAAAAAAAAAAACCTTGACATTTTATATTTGATATTTTTTACAGGTGACCTCCTTGCACACCTGACCCCGGAGTATCCAAACCTGGTCTTCTCGGAGCTTGTCGTTGAAGGGGAGCAGTGTCACATCAGCGGCCAGATAAGCAGACAAAGTCCCTCAGAGCAGGAAGGCCAGCGGGAGGTTTTCCAGTTCGGGAGGCGTTTCCCTTTGAGCGGCGGCCTGAGCGTGGCCGACTACGCCATGTTCTACGTGGGCCAGGAGGGAGCCACGCTGCGGAACTTCATGATGAGCTGGAACCGCTGCGCCTTCTGCTCCTTCGACCCGGCGTCGGGCGTCGGGCGGGCGGAGTCGGCGGGCGTCAACCGGGCGCTGATGAGGCGCTACTACGCCATCGAGCGCGCCCGGGACGCCGGCGTGGTGGGCGTCCTGGTGGGCACGCTCGGGGTGGCCGACTACCTGGCCATCATCCGGCGGCTGAAGGAGGCCGTCCGGCGGGCCGGGAAGAAGAGCTACACCTTCGCCATGGGGAAGCTCAACGTGCCCAAGCTGGCCAACTTCCTGGAGATCGACGTGTTCGTGCTGGTGGCCTGCCCCGAGAACTCGCTGCTGGACCACAGCGGCTTCTACCGGCCCGTGGTCACGCCCTACGAGATGGAGGTGGCCTGCAGCCGGAGCAGGGAGTGGTCGCAGGAGTACGTCACCGACTTCCGGCACCTTCTGCCAGGTCTGACGGGAATCTGAGAGCTGTTTCCCTTTTTTCTTTTTTTTTTCCCAAGGAAAAAAAGAACCGGCAAAGCAGCCGCAGCTTTTATCATTTGATAAAGTGGGAATATTTTGTATTTCAAGCCTAGATTTCCGTATTGTGTTCCCACATTAGCAAAATGCTGGGTGTTGATTATGCCGGCTCATAAGTATTCAGTATGAGAAGCATTTTAGGGCAATTAAAAGAAAAAGTAAAGTAAAATAATTTAATATCACTTTTCTTTTTTTCTTATCATTTGGATAGTGCCAAGTCTATTAATGCTATAGATTCTGATCATAATCCGGTTTAAATATGTGAATCGTATTCTGATTCATTGTAACTCAATGCATTTAAAGAAAAATCTTTAAGTTTGGTCCCGTTTTTCCCCTCCACTAGGCGGACAGAGTCATGTGCCTTTGGCTGATGAGGAGGAGGGCGGGGATGAGACGGACGTCTCCCTGATCACCGGGTTCCTGAGGAGCCGAAACCTGCTGAGCAGCGAGCCCCCGGAGTCTTCGTCGGGCTCCTCCGTGGTTCTGAGGAACCCGACGCTAACCGTGGCCAACACCAACTCAGCCGGTACGCGTCCAGTCCGCAGGATTTGTCAAAATTTGAAAAAAATAAAATAAAGAAGTGTTGCTGGAGGAAGTGGAACCTTTGGAACGCCCCGTTTTACGCCACCCATTTCCTTGTTTTTGCTTTCTGTTTTGCAGCGTCTTTCCTGGCAGGCCGGAGCTGGCGCGGCTTGGAGCAGAAGCTGGGGGAGACTCCCGTTGTGAAGGCGGCGGAGGGCCGGAGGGGGATAGCCATCGCCTACGAAGAGGAGGGGACGCCCTGACCCCCCCCACGCGCTTCTCCACTTATTTATTCATGTACAAAGGTCCCAAATTTGAAACGTACAGCAGATGTAAATAATTATTAAATATTTTATTCTCCAAACTAAATGTAACAGTGTCTTGTTTTTTTGTTTTTTATGAGTAATACTAATAATCAGAAGCTCTTCTACATAATAATGCTGTTGGAAAGGGCTTTGTTTTTATATCCATCACTGTTCTTTTCCAGGAACTTCCTCCACAAACGCCGCAGGAAATATTCCAGTACTCCCATTACACTGCCCCTCCAACCAGTCCTGGTTAACTATAAACAAAGTAAGGATTTGAGTTAGACCCACATTCTGTTTTGTGTTTGTGTGGGTATGAGAGTTAATGGAATCTCACCTCTGGAGAGAAAAGTGATCGTATCTCCTTCTTTAAAGTTTAGATCTTCGGGGTTTGAGGACTCATAGGTGTGAAGAGCCACCAGATGAGTCTCACTCTGTGGATTTTCTTCTTTTTGCTAAATAAAAAAACAAACAAACTGACCTTTGTTTTTTCCTTAAAGCTTCTCAATGACTTGGGGAACAAGCAAACCTTATTTTCCTGCATTATGAAAATAGTTTTCAACCAAACCAGGTCTTTAGTCTGGACACTTGTCATCGAAAACTGGATCAAATTAAAACAAAATTGTATAATATACTGAGTTGTGCACTTTGAAAACATTTTTTTTTTAAGAGATCTTCATGTGTTGCATTCAGGTGCAGGACTGCTGTTACTCAGCAGGAAATGTGGGACGCCATTTGGGTTTAAAAGTCTTTCGTGTGTCGAAACATAAGTCTCACTCAAATGGGAAAAATAGCCTAAAAAACAAGTCGAGAGTTTGAACTATTTAACCAGCAGCCTGAACAGAAAAAAGAAAACACTGGTTTACCTCTCTGGTGCTACACCACAGGGTGAGGCGGCCTTCACTGACCAGGCTCCACACATCCTCCATCTGAGTGGTGGCATCAATGACACGTTGCCCACTTGGATCTAAGCTGTAACCAAACAAAACCATCAACTCTTCTTTTCTTTTTTTACTGGAGCAGAACGGAACAGTAACCACCACGAGTGAGTCGGTACCTCAGAGTTATTGCTGCAGAAGGCAGCTCCAGCTTCTCTCCTATTTTTTCGACCAGCAGCTCGTAGGAAGCCCCGCGTGGCACGGAGACCATGAAGGTGAAAGTGAAACGGACTTTGACGACAACTGTCTGGTCTCCCGGCTGGGCCTCCTGGGAATAGATGCACATGATATTGGAGTTAAATCCCAGAAATGAGAAGCATGTATGTGTAGGTTTGTACAACAGGGGGGGTCACTCTCGGTATACCTCCTGCTTTGAGTTTCCTGTGCCGTTCTCACCAGGAGTAAGACCTCACGGGCGAAATGAGAAGAGTGGCTTTGTTAACGTTTGCGATTTGGAAACATTCATTTATGCTACTGGAACCATGTCGGGTCACCTACCTTGAATCCTCTCGGGTCTCGTCGGGGGTTCTCTACTTGGAGGCTCAGTCAAACCCTGTTAACGGTTGTTCCCAATTATTTTTTTTAGAGAGCCTTGAAGTACACTTATAAGTTTACAGACTGTTTAAGATGAGCGGATTGAGTGAATGGCTCCAGTTAAAGTTGCAATAAACTCACATTTTAAAAGGATGTGGGGAAAACTCATATATAACTGTATCGTATGCAGATTGATCATAACTTTATGACGGTTACGCAAAGTAAAATCTAAAGAAGTAAAACTTGTTTGATTTTTGAAATGTTCATCTACAGACATCTTGGTGCCAGACACCACCGAAAGTACTCAGCTTATCAGTGTGATGTCATATTTTCCAAGAACAATTCCCTACCTTATTCCGTTGAGAAGCCAAACTGATTTCCAGACGTTCCAGGTAATTGTAGGGAACAAGGCCCTTCTGGAATTGACATAATGATGATTAATATCACATGACAGCGGCTTGACTTGGATTACAATACAAAGAGTCACATGTTCAAGTAGATTTTTTTCTATCTGTCAATCTATTCTCGAAGGGAAAAAAGATAGAAAGTTAACGGTAAAAAAAGCACTCTATAAAAAGAAAAAAGTTCAGATTTTATATCCAGAGCTGTCTCACTCTTTCGTTGAAGACCACGTAGGCCCAATTGTCGGCTCCCTTCTGCAGCACAAACACGATGTTCCCCGGCACCACGGCGAGCTCGTCGCTGGTCTCAGGAACAAACTCAAACAGCACGGTGTGGGGTTCTCCTTCCAAAGCTCTGAGAGGAGCACATGGCACCATGAGACCTGCAGCACTATTGATCTGCTTTACACACACTTTCTCATCGAAACCCGCAATTTCATAGATAAAAATAATTGAACTACAACAGGTGGGGCTGTCACTGTTTAATCCAACCAGTATTGAATCTAATTAACAGTTAATATTTAGGGGGGAAATAACCTTATATATGTATAATACAGTGCTATTCATCCATGTAACCAGGATTATGATGTTCACCCACAAAGTGATGAGCATACCTCAGAACCTCAGGTTCTCTTGGAGAAGCCGGACCGTCCACTATCTGTCAGATGTGAATAAAAACACAAAGCATCCAGTCAGATGTTGAAATGGCATATTTAGGATGTATATTTTAAAAAAGAATTCTAAGTTTGAGTATGAAAAAATATGAAAGAAAGTTTTCTTAATAAACTTAACTATATTTAATCAGTTGGTTTTGACAGCACAATTTAGTTTAAACCTTTCTAAAAAACATTTTAATGTTTTTTACAATTAATACATTTGTACCACACTGTATTATTTCTGAAAAAATAACAAAAAATTTGTTAAAAAAAATATATATATACATTTTAATGTAACCCATTGAGGCTGTAACGTATATATTTTTTCATTTATTTGAGTACTTGTTGAGTACTTGTGCCCTCTGTGAAACCATGTGTCACCTGTGGCTGTAGTGGAGCAAATCCAGAGAACTCGTCTTGTGGAATAACAGACGCAACAACCTGATCGTAACACACACACAAACACACACATTGACACAGGTAAATGATTGATTACAGTGTCATCCACAGGGATCTTCAAAATAAAAAGTGCCAGTGCCTTAGCGTTCGGTTTTACCTTGGCTTTGCCCAGATAATCCTTCTTCTCCAGCTCAGCCACGTAGTGCTTGTTCGGTTTAAATAGCATTTTCGATGGGAACTCAACTGGTTTGAAATGTTTCTGTTTCTGTCAGTGAAATGGCATCGTTAAGGGTATTGACATGTTCAGTGATTCAAGTCTCAAAAGAAATGTTCTACTCCTAACTAAACCTTTCAGCTGAATTAACAATTAATATTTAGGGGGGAAATAACCTCATATATGTATAATACAGTGCTATTCATCCATGTAACCAAATTAATGTTGTATTAATGAATACCTTTGCCAATAACGGCCTTCTGTTTCAGTGTCTACTCAAGAATGGATGTAAGCCACCAATGACCAAGGTTTAAGGATTTTGAACTGAATGTAGATTACCTATCACTATGAATGGTGTCCCATTTTAATGTAATGAAGAACTGACTGGAACTTATTAGGTAAGTAAAGGCACAAAGTTGAAACCAGCACACAATAACTCACCAGGATGGACTGCAGAGCTCGATCAATGACACTGAACTTGGCCTCTGTTTTGTAGTCCAAGGCCTTCAGCAGGTTTTCCTGGGCTTTTTGCCAGTCCCCCAGCTGGGCCTCAGCGAGGGCCATATTGTGGAGAACCTTCGACAGGGAAACATTTGCACTGAACTGGGAGCTCATCCATATTCTTATGCACAATATATTTAAAACCCTTCATGCAAAACAGGCCTGGAACCTTTGTTGTCACAGGATTAGTTTTTTCAATCTACCTAAGAGGGACATATTGTACTGCTGTGGGGGGACATATGCTGTTAAAATTCCTTTAAAGAACTGTTTAAAAGCCTTTTCTGTGGCTTAATGGAAGCAAGACCTATGAGAAGTACTTACCTCACATGCATACAATATGTATCTGAGGCCCAGGGCTTTGTAATCGATCAACTGGTTGCCCCTCAGTGCTCTGAGTGTTCTCTGGAAGTCAGCCAGGCTCTCCTCATACCTTTGAACAGGGGTAATGAATTCAATTTATTTTGCTTCTCAGAATAAGTCTTAATGAATAAGTAGGCATGTGCCTTGCCTCTTCTTTTTGTAAAAGGTAATTCCTCTTTGAAAGAAGGCGATGGCCAAATGCTCGTCCTTACGTATGCTGCAATCAAACGCCTGAGAAACAGCAGAGAAACACAGCGACTTCCTCTGTAAGACCTGAAAAAAGGTGAATCCTACTTCTTCTTTCACAGTGACTTGCACTTTCAGACACGGTGTTATGGCCAAGTTCCATCCCAGCCTTAACGGCTGCATTCACAGTGTTTTACGTCACAATGCTGGCAGATAAAGGGCAAAACCAGTTGATATTCTTTTGATATATACTCGTTTGACCTTCCAGTTCAGACGTACCTTTTCGGCCGCATCCAACTCTTGGTTAAGCAGATGGAGGCAGCCAATGTCAAAGCATATCTTGGAGTTTGGCTCTTGAATGGAGAGGAAAATGCTGAGCGCTCTGGTGTAATCCCCACCGTCAGCACAGGTGACGGCCTCATCCCACTGCCGCAGAGTGTCTACAAACGACATATTTGCTGGCCGGCCGTACACTGTGACCAAATCAAGGAAGCTGATCTGATTTGTACCAGCGAAATCAGGAAGTGTGATAACCAACCAGTGTTGAACAAGAAACCACAACTTAACAGATTGAAGATGCCCTGTAACTGTCCTCTTCCCCATCATGAGCTGGCTTTTGCATGCTATTCATTATTGGTGTGTTCTGTTCTGTTGTAGGAAAACTAAACTTCCTTTCAACGTTAAGGCCACTTTGCATTTCACATAAATCTCATAAAACTACCTAGATAAACAAAAAGCTTATTTTAATAAGTGATGCTGCATGTTGAGTGACAAAAACATTGTCAAGTGTTTTGAGGTATTTCCGGAACTGTTTTTTTTAATGCACGATTAATGTGACTACACTGTGTCATTTTGTTTCTAAAGATGTATTGGTTCTGCTTTTTTGCCTCAAAAATTAGAAGTTGTGCCAAACTTTATAGTACAAAAGTCTGACTTCCGGTGTAAACTTTTCAAAGTACACTAATTGTGAATAGACTGTGGCTTTAAAGTAAAAAACACTTTGCAGTTTGGTACAAAATATGGAAAGACAAATCTTCCTCCATATTTTACCAACTCTCTTACTGAAAGTAACGTTTTTTTTCCTTGTTAACATAGGCAAATGCTCTTACTTTTAAAGAACAAAAGTGTCCTTCTGATACATCCGTTAAATTGATGCAGCCTTCGCTAGCTAAACAAACATGGCTCTGCTATTGTATCGAACAACGGAACTTTTTAATACGTAGGCAAATGAATAAGGGAATATGTAACGAATTATAAGAAGCGCTTCGTGTATGATATGACGCTGATAAAGTGTAGTTGCACAATTTCGTTAGTTAGCTCAAAGTAGCCTTTCGTGGCTGTGTTTACACATAGTTAGCTCCATAGTTGGCTAATTCAAGCTAGCAAGATGGACCTTGGAACAATGTTGTACAATAATTTAAAAGATGTGACCTGGAGCACGACGTCCTTACCATTAGATCGGCTTGTCAGCGCATATAAATTGCCGCAAATTGTCAAGCTGGATAACGGTGAGTGATTTCGTGAAATCTACTGACTTTTCGAGTTATCACCCGAGTGCCTGCAAGTTGTACATTAGCATTTTTGTAAGATCCAAACATTCCAAGATCAGTGGTTGGGATCTGCACATATCTGGCAAAACGATACACCTTATGCTATATTATATTCACACAAAGAATGCAAAAAAGTCTGTGCAAAACAGGTTGTAATTAATGTCTTTTGCTTCCTGTTCTATTCGAGTGACAATTTAAGTGGTTCAAAGACATCTGACATCTTTAAACGCAAATAATTGAAATGGAGAACGGGTTTGGTTTTATAGCTTGTAAAATGAAATAAACTAAACAAGCTGCTAAGACTGATCACAAACGAAAATGCAGGTGACAGTTGTAGAGGGTTTAGAGGTCTCTAAACAGCTGTTTTGGACCCCATTTGTTACCAGACTTGCAGAGCTTCCTTGTCTGTATTGCCATATTTTTGGATTTTATATTGTTCCTGAATAGACTGTAAAGCTTACAAGTCTTAAAATGTAATTGTACTGTCCTTTATTTGATTTCGAGCCTGACCCAGAGTCAGTTTGCTGCATTACCAGTCAGTGACCTGGGTGTCATGTTGTTATTAGTTGCTTCCTTTATAATTTGACACTATAACTGAAAGGTTTGGTTTGTTGTGTGAATGGTCATTTATCTGGTTGACACAGGTCAGTTGGTTGAAGGGCTCAGAGACAACGACTACCTCTTGATTCATTCCTGCCGTCAGTGGACAACGATTACAGCTCACAGCCTCGAGGAGGGACACTATGTGATTGGGCCCAAAATAGAGATCCCAGTTCATTATGAAGGTAATCTACATGTTGTTACCTCTTTGTGTGATATTGTGATTATATTTAGCTTTAGTCTGTGCCCTCATATAGTTGTTTTTAATTACAGCAAGAACACTAGGTAACAGATTAGACTACTAAACTCTTAGTATGAGGTGGCTACTGATAACTGGCATTGGGAGTGGACTTTTTGCCTGCGCTGACGTGCCTTTTTTCCAAAAATGAAGGTCAGTTCAAGCTACTGGAGCAGGACCGAGACGTCAAAGAGCCTGTACAGTACTATAACAGCGTAGAGGAGGTGGCCAAAGCATTCCCTGAACGGGTTTACGTCATGGAGGAAATCACCTTTAATGTTAAGGTACATTTTATCCATCAGCAATGGGAAAATTCTTGTTGGCTTTGAAGTTTGTAGCATTACATAGAAATGGGACCTTTCCATTTATATTGGTAATACTTTTCCCTTTGTTATTTTTAGTCATTTGTGGCATTTCTGTGTGTTTTTTCTACAGATGGCCTCTGGGGAATGCAATGAAGAGACAGAGGTCTACAACATAACACTATGCACCGGTGACGAGCTCACACTAATGGGCCAGGCGGAGATCCTCTACGCCAAGAGCTCCAGAGAGAAATCGAGGCTCAACACTATTTTCAAGAAGATCGGGAAGCTCAACTCCATCAGCAAGATCGGCCGAGGCAAGATGCCGTGCCTGATTTGCATGAACCATCGCACGAACGAGAGCATCAGCCTGCCCTTCCAGTGCAAGGGCCGCTTCAGCACCTGCAGCCCGCTGGAGCTCCAGATGCAGGACGGCGAGCACACCATCCGGAACATCGTGGAGAAAACCCGCCTCCCCGTCAACGTGACGGTGCCCAGCTGCCCGCCCCGCAACCCGCACGACCTCCACCTCATCCGGGAGGGCCACCGCTACAAGCTGGTGAACATCCAGACCAAGACGGTGGTGGTGTGCTGCGTGCTGCGGAGCCACAAAGTCACGCCCGTCCACTTCCCCTTCCACCTGGTCATGCCCAGGTTCATCGTCCCCGAGGAGCTGCTGCAGGGCGAGCTGTGGCTGGACACCATGGTGCACCGCTGGTTCTCCTTCTGCCAGGAGCAGTTCGACATCGACGACTACTCCCGCGCCGTGCGCGACGTGCGCACCGACTGGAGCGAGGACGGCAAAAGCCCCAAGAAAAGCGCCGGCGGCGGGTCCAACGGCTGCCCCAGCCACATGCAGATCCCCAGCTCCCTGACCTACGCCCGGGACGAGCTCACGCAGTCCTTCCACCGGCTGTCGGTCTGCGTGTACGGCAGCAACCTGCACGGCAACAGCGAGGTCAACCTGCAGGGCTGCGTGACGCTGTGCGGGGACTGGCCGCCGCCGCCGCCCGCCGACGGCAACGGCTCGGACTGCGGGGAGAACGAGCACTTTTTCCCCGAGCCGCTGGACAGCACCGGCCAGCAGCCGCCCCTCGGCGTGGACGTGCCCTACGAGGAGCTGTGGCTGGACCACCTGAGAGGCCAGGTCCCCAAGCCCTCCCCGTCCGGCGAAGGCGTCCGGGGCCTCAACAACGGCTGCGCTCCGGCGCCCGCGCTGGCCTTCCCGCCGGCCTCGCCGCTGGGCCCCGCGCCAAGCTTAGACGTGCCTCTGACCCCACCGCCGGTCCCACCAAAGTCCGAAGCCGTGAGTAGAACGCAACATGCCTCGGGTCCGAAATGCGAAAAAAGGGGATCTCGGTCGCCTGTTTTTGTGCCGTTCACCTGCTGATGAAAGAAAAACCAAACAGCAGTGCACCTCTGATTGTGTGAAAGCACACATACACACATACACAAAAGTAACTCAAGTAATCAAATTCATCAACTTGTAGCAGGAGACATCTCCAGCGCTGCAAGATTTGCTACACTTTTGGCATCTTGCAACACGTTACTAACTGTGTGCTAATTTAGCCAAAAGGAAGGAGCCGGGAAAGGATGCATTTTGTAAATATCAGTTTCCCAAAGCTGGCGTAAGTTCAACATTTCACCGTAAACTTAAGGAGATGCTAGTCTGATCCAATTAGAGATGGCAGAAACTACTTCTTTCCTCTCCAAGCATCAGACTCCTGGTTTGGCATGTACTTCTGTTCTGTACGCTAACGCTCACCGCCCCAGTCCAGAGGAACAGGTTCTGATAATTAAGCGCTGTAAGGTATCTAAAAAAAGAAAATGGCAGAAGAGAGGAATGTTGAATAGTAAGTTACAGCTCAAACGTACATGGCATTCACTCGCCCCATGTCGCACGGGCCGGTAACACAAAGGGTTCAACACCTGGGATGCAGACACACACTTTTCCACTGAAGTATCCACGGTTACACATCTTTTGCTAACAACTGGGGTGGACAAAACAAGTTGTCTGCCTAATCATGGGTCCGTGTTTTAATGTCCGGTGAAGAAAAAAAGAGGAAGTGAGGTAACTGTCTGTGTAACCATGGAAGCAGGTCGTAGTCTCTCCTGCTGTTTTCTCACTACTATCTCATCTCAACTGCTACTTGTTGAAAAAAAGCTTTGAAGTTCAAATTCAAAATATCCGCTTCCTCATACTCTCCCCGAGCATTCAACAGATTTCTCTGCCAGGAATCTCACATTTCTTCTGATGATCAGAGGAAGAGCTGCTTTAGCCTCCGTCTCGTCTCTGCTCCTCTTCCTGAACAACTTCTCTTTAACTCATCTTGGTTTGAGCTCTCTTTTTGTACACTGTTATTGGCCAAGCTTTGAAAAGCCCCACCACACAAAGAGGCTTAATACTGAAGCTTACAATGTAGGGTTGTCACAATACTAACATTTTCAACTACCGATACTCAGGAAATATTCGATACTCAATACCATTTTCGATACCACAAGGATAAGATTCTGTGACTTTTTTTTTTTCCTGCTCAATGCCTAACATCAATCTCTAAAACGCCTCCCTCAGAGTCAGACACCCCACCACTGTAAATTCTTACTAATTAATAGTAAGAATAGTAATTATAAATTCTTACAAATTTATTGGCATTTATTTATTCTTCTCACACTATCATTATCACTTATTTTAGATCTGTATATATACTGTCTATATATATGCATATACACATATAGTTATATATGTATATACTTATATTTTGTGTGGAATATTGTGCGTATATATATACACATACATATATACATATATATGCTGTAGTATATCTGGAGTTGGAAACAAAAATAATTTCCCTCTGGGATTATTAAAGTATTTCTGATTCTGATTTCTGTCCTCCCAAAAACCCCCCCCCCCAAAAAACAGGTAAAGGAAGAGTGCCGTCTCCTGAACGCCCCACCAATCCCTCCACGAAGTCTAAAACAGCCGTCGCTGTCGGCCCCCGCCCCGTCCAAGCCGCGCCAGCAGGACACCCGCTCCCCCAGCCCCACGCTGTCCTACTACTCCTCCGGCCTGCACAACATGTAAGAGTCCCCAGAGCACGGGGGGGGGGCCTTCTGTTTCCTGATCCGTGTGCCCAGTTCCAGCTCCAGGCTGGTCGGGTGCATGGTGGGGCTGTAATCCACCAGAGAGATTCTAGGTCGACCAAAACCCAGAAACACACGACTGCTCTGAACACCCCCCTGTCAGCAGTTGGTACTTTCCACCTGATGAAATGAACCACAGACTGGATGAGGTTAACAGGCAAATTGGTCCACCAGTCCGAGTTTTGGTCGACCCAGAACGTATGGACCAATAAGTCGAGCAGTCGAGTAGGACTTTACAGCCCTAGTGCTTGGTTTTCATGATACAGTAGAAACATCTACATAGGAATTTTATTCCGTCCAGGGCGTAGTTTATGTTAAAATATTGGTCTGTTGGTTCAAATATTCCCATCCGAAAACACTCTAATTCCTATAATTTGTTCCACAGCCCCAAAAATCCTTAGTAAATACTGCAGATAATTACACATAGCAATAAAACAAATGCATTACATAAGACAGATGTAAAAAAAAAACAATTTTTTATAAAGAAATAATCAATATAAAGGTTTTTTTTTATTGGCGAACGGATGTAGAGGTGTAGACTGATATACAGTATGTACTATAACCAGTGTTGGGGAGTAACGGATTACATGTAACGACGTTACGTAATTTAATTACAAAAAAAGAGTAACTGTAATTCGTTACAGTTACAATGAGAAAATATGTAATTCAGTTACAGTTACTTCCGAAAAAATGAAGAATTACAAATTTAGTTACATTCTTTTAAAAATATAAAGAAAAACCTTTGCAAAATATGCGACTCACTGATAGACGAAGCGTATTGATTTACTGATATTTGACTGTTTGGTGTTGATGCATGACAAACGTTTATTGATGTCTATGACCTAGCCTACCTAGCCTAGCCTAGCATACCCAACTGTAGGGTGACCAGATGTCCTCTTTTTCCCGGACATGTCCTACATTTCAGACTAGGGTTGTCAAAAGTATCGATACTCAAAAAAGTACAGATACTAAAATGTTGTATCCGGATACGACTGACTTGTCTCCGATTTATTTATGTATTTATTTACGTTGTTTATGATCATTAACGTGACGTTAGCCTTGAAGTGCTAGCTGCGGCCAATAGCTAATAATAACATGCTAAAATTAATCATGGGTCACTACTCATTAAAACCTTAAAGTAATCAAAAAGTAATCAAAAGTAATTAGTTACATTACTTTTTGAAAGTAATCGAAAAAGTTACACTACAATTACATTTTAAACAAGGTAACTTGTAACTGTAACGGATTACATTTTTAAAGTAACTTACCCAACACTGACTATAACTTACTCTAACTTTCACTATGTGAACTTTAAACTAACTTAGCTTAGTTATTTTTAGTTGATCTTTATATTATAATTTTTTTTCTATGATTTCAGCGGGCCCAGTGATCCGGACGGGGCCGACCCGGCTGAGCCCGGCCACGTCTGCTACCCCTGCAGCTGGGGGCCGTCCAGCCCCGAGCCCCCCCCCGCCGCCGCCCCCCCGCCGGAGGGCGTGTCCTCCCGCCTGTCCTGGCCCAACAGCTTCAGCGGCGGGGAGCCGCGGGGCGGTGGGGGGGGCGACCCCGACGGCGTCCCGCCCGCCGGCGGCCGCAGCTACTACAGCTACCCCCGGAAGAGGGCGCCCGGCGGCCCCCGCACCGCCACCTCCAGCCTCATCGACTTCGACGGCGGCGGGGGGGGCGGCGACTTCGGCTCGCAGGCGGCCCCGCTCGGCCAGATGTGCACCAAGTCGTCCAGCTGCAGCTCGGAGATGCACCGGGACACGCCCATCACGGCCAGCCACGGCCGCCAGAGCCTGTCCTGCCCCATCCTGCCCCCCCGCACCCCCAAAGCCGGCCCCGCCCGGACCCGCGGGGACGCCCCGGACCCCGGACCGGAGCCGGACCCCCTCGCCCCGGAGCCGGACCCCCTCCCCGACTCGCCACCGGCCCGTTCGGCCACCCCCGCCGGCCAGTGGCAGCCGCCGGCCAGCCTGGCGGGGGTGTCCATCGAGGAGGTGTCCCGGTCACTGCGCTTCCTGGGCCTGCCGGACGACAGCGTGTCGCTGTTCGTGTCGGAGAAGATCGACGGCAGCCTGCTGCTGCAGCTGACCGAGGAGATCCTGGCCGAGGACTTCCGGCTCACCAAGCTGCAGGTCAAGAAGCTGATGCAGTTCATGGGGGGGTGGAGGCCCAAAATCTAGACTCAGAGACGCCCCCCCCGTACGGACGCTATGCACATCGCCCACCGAGAGTCTGAGCTTGTGTTTTACACCAGCTCCGCCTGAGCCCCCCCCCCCCCCCCCACCGGTGGGAAGACGGGCCCCAGCCCACTCAAACCGCTAATGAATGGGATCATTTGGCACTTTTAACGGAGACATTTTCACGTCAACTTTTAAGTACTTTTTTTGGTTTGTTTTTTTGCTTTTTAATCCAAAGCCCCCCCGCCCCAGCCTGGTCTCCTAGTATTATTTTTTACTTCCACAAAACACATTAACAGAGCCCAAAGAGATCCCAGTCTCTTTCTCCAAGGAGATTTCCAACACTAAGGATTCCACAGCAAAGGTTCCCCCTCTTTAGTTTGGGGAGCGACGGGCTTAAAAAAAGGGGGGCCGTTCTGTAGTTTTCTCCCCCATCCACGCAGCAGAGAATGTCAACGCAGTCCTACGCCTAAATGGAACCACCCTAACACTACACGACCAGCCTAAGCTCCTCTCAAACTCCCCAGTTTGCTCTTTTTCGCCTCCGCGGTACCGCACCAACGTGCAGCTGTTTTGTGTTTTATTTTTAAAGAATTGAAAGAATTCTTAAACTAAGTAAATAAGTAGCTTTATCCAATATGAAGAGTATATGAACGTATGACAGGATTTTTGAGCAAAAATACATAAAAAGCTGTTTTCTGAGGGGAAAAAATGATGTAAAAAAAAAGATATATGCTGAACTGTAATTATGCAACACCCCTATTTCTGTTCTATGCCTTTTTTTATTCTTTAGTTTAACTCTAACCCAAGATGTCTCAGCCTAAACGTAACCACGGGTTACCGGAAGCTGAACAAACTGTAAAAAGTCTAACTGTCCTGACTCTGGAACTAACAGAAGTAACACGACCGAGAGGTGACGGACCACGAGCTTTGTTGTCAAAATACAAAAATCCATGCATCGTGCACTTTTGTAGACGTGGTGGCCGTCTTTTGTTTTTGTTTTTTTAGGAATAGAAACCTGTTGAAGTGTCTTTACGGAGCGAACGCGCCACGTGTTTTTGTTTAGTTTCCCCCAGATTTTGACGGTACGTCTGTTCATTTAGTTCCTTTTTTTCCCCACAGTTTTATGTACTACAAGTGTCCTCTAACAGAAGAAACTGGAGCCGTTTCTTTGCGCCTTAACCCAAAGCCCTTAAGATTCTTAATGTTTGAAACGTTCGCCAAACGTCTTTTGTGTTTGTCTGTTTTTTTTTTGTTTTTTAAGCCAGTTTTCACCATCTTTGGCCTCAGCTCAAACCGAGGGAACAACGTTGGCTTAGTGCTTTTCCTCCAGAACGGATTTATTTATGGAAAACGTGTTCGCCCCCCCCCCCCCCCCCCACCCCAACAAAAAAAATCTAACGACACTTTTTACAACTGATTGTTACATATTTTACTTGATATGTTTATTTTCTACGTGCGTCATTTTGAAAGAAAAAATTATTACTAATGTCGACTTTATTTTTTACGAGAAAAAAAACGTGTGTGATTTTCTATTTTGTTTTTCTTTGTTTAAATCCACGAACTGAAAAAGATACTTAACTCATAATGGGGAAAATAATAAAAAAAACAAACCAAACTGCAAGCCTCAGTCACGTTTAAACGTACTGTAAAACAAACTCACTAACCAGATTTCTTCGTATCTTTTTGGGAGGGGGGGACTATTTTCTGCCAGTTCTGTCTTATGCAATAGCCTCAGCGCTCCGCAGACTCCCGGAGAGGGAGCAGCGGGGTGATTTTTGGCGAGTATTAAGAGCACAGACGTGCCACAGTGTTGATTTCCGATCCACGATTCTACTTGAATAATCCTCAGATGAGAACTGAACCCACTGTGACAACAGGCCCGCTGGTTTCATGGTACCTACAGCTCTGGACTGAGGCCTGCATAGCAAAATCATGTGCCCCCCCCACCTTTTTTTTTGTCTTCTTTCTTTTGGTTTTGTTTAAAGGGACTGTGACACTGGGTTTGATGTTTGTTCAGCTGTCATTTGTCATTCCCTTATTCTCTTTGCATCCTATTTTTGATGGTAAATTCTATTAAAAAGTGGATTAACTGGAGCCCCCGCTCTTTTTTTTCTTCCGTAACACTCATCGGTTGCACAGTGTCACAAGAGTTTGGTGGTGAAACGGAACCAGTTTGCTTAATAACTACTTCACATGCACTGAAAACAAGATAAATAAATAAAAAAAATAATATGAATACCCAGAAGACGGATTTTTAGGGGTGATTTAGAACAATGTACAAGGAGAGTGAATTTCTAGCTAATTTAAGTTTAAATGGGACTCTGCAAATTGGATCTAGCAACAGACGGATATGAGAATAACGAACACGAGGTCTCCACAAACCCCACAATTTCATCACAGGATCTTCAAGTAGCTCGGTTTGTCCAAATTTGGAAGAAATGTGGTTTTAGGGAAACAAAACATCCCTTCTGTTGTCGCAACTGCTGCCGTGTTCGACTTTGAGCTGCAAGAAGCTTTTAACATAGAAAGCACGTAGGCGTGGGTGTCATGGTTTGGGGCTTTTTTTCTGCCTCAGAGAATTTGCAGCTTCCAGAATAAAATACCGGAGCTGTTTCATAGCCTGGTCCGAGACGTTCTCTTGACCGATGGGCAGAGAATAAATGGTTCCAAAACTATAAGCACAGTTAATGGAATCGGCCTCCTGAAACAGAAGCAGAAAAGACAGCAGATCAGACGAAACGTTGGAGGAACCAGAATCGAACCGGTTCTGCTTTTGCGGGCCGCTTGCAGCTGCTACTTCCTGGCTTACGTAAAGCTGCCTGCTTCTCACAGCCTCTGCGTCCCACAAGCTCCGCCTTCCATCTGACGGTCAAACACAGGGCGACAGAAAACGGACTCCCGAGTTTAGGTGGCTCGATTTGAGCTGAATGACCCTCTCTCGTCCATTCACAATTCTTTTTTAAATGAATAAAAGGAAGGCAAAAACCAGAGCGGCAGTATAAATTTGGAGTGGAGTTGTAAGTAATAATAAATAATGTTTAGAGGCGGTGGTCGAATGAAAAGGGAGGAGAGAGGTTTCAGTGTTCAGCTTCCTGACAGTTTGGTGGTTTCCTGAAACCAGGACGCTGAAGACGGAGTGTAAAGGCCAACTGGTTCACTTTATTCCAGGAGTTGGCTTTAGCTTTAGTTTGACTAATCTAAAACCGAACAAAAAGAAAAGAGAAACAGCAAACGGTGAGTGACGCTCAGAGCTGTAGATAGAAGGTCTTCAGGCCTTGAAATGAGTGGTATGAACTCCATCAAAGCATGGAGGAGGGGAGCGGACCATGTTCTGACAACGTGACCACGGAGGGAAACGGTCAAAACCAAATTAGTCAGTTATATAGCACCAAATCACAACAAATGCCATTCACCAAATTTTCAAATTAGATTCAAATTAATTGGAAGCCTATCAAAATCCAATCAATAAAAGTTCATTTATTTCCAAATACATTCAATTCATAACGAGTCAATTGAAGATGTTCCCGCTAAGGAAAACAACATGTTGCACAGAATTTTCTCTGCAATCCGCCCCCCCCCCCCTCTGGCAGAAATAGACTTTGAACATTTGCCACCGAAGCTCTTATGTTCAAAGTCAACATGGTTGTTGTGACCAGTTCAAGTTGAAGCTTTGCTTTACCTTAATCCTTCTATTACTCAGATTTACGAACGATTTAGAACTTTACTACATCTTGCAAAAATTGCATGAAGAACTGGAAATCTTCGTATTTAATTGGTAGATATTGATTCAGTTGAACATAAAGAAATTATTTAATTTTAAATGCTTTAAATTTGAATGAAGCTAAATTGAGCAATCTTACACACCGGCTGAAACACGGCGGTGGGGATATTATGGTTCGGATGGGTTGTGCTGCATCAGAGCCTTGTCGATAGAACAGAGAGTTCTGGAAAATGTCAGAAAATGCCAAAGGAACTTAATGATCATTATACCAAACCATTATATTAGCTAAACTACCGAACAGATTTTAAGTGACCGACTCTAGGGTTGTGATCTTGGTTAACTGTCATTACAAATCCTTATATGTACACAGAAAAAACACAAACGTTTTTAAAACCTGTTTGCCCTCAAGATATCATTGGTTCTCTTCTGTTTTACATATCTTCTGCACAATCCCAGAGAAGGTTGGAAGAGCTTGTTATTAAGCGTGGCCGCTAAACTAAATCAAATCCAGGAGACATGCGGTCGTGTTGGAAAATGTCATTTTCCGCTGTGGCATTTTGTGCTGTAAGGTTTAAACCACACTTTAAGTCCAGAACACAGTAACTGTGAGCGGATGCTGATCTTAAATGAGCTAAGTTCATTACAGCGAGACAATTCAATTTTGGGGACTTTCTTTTTTTAACATTTTGATAAAGGCAAGCTTAAAACAAACAAGTGACCTAGTGGGCTACAAAGCAGTTAGTAACCAGTAGTCTGAGCCATTATACTAATACCTGACCTAAGTCTCAAGAACATGGACATTTTTCGGTTAAAAAACTAAAAAAGTCAACTGAACAGCAAGAGTCACCTTTAAATGATCCCGTCTGATCACTCAGATCGGATGTTTTTTTCCTCACTGATCATCTTTTAAACCTGTAATGCCAAATGTATCATATTTGATTCATACGGATTCTGAAATGTTTTGCTTCTGACACCTTTTGCATAATTTAATGGTAAAAACTTTGCTCAAAATCCTATTGTACACAATCAGATACACCTGATAACAGGGGGCAGAAGACTACACAAAAAATAATCTGGACTTATCGCATAGTAATAAATTATTAATATCAAAAATGTATTTCTGTTTTTTCTTTTTACATATTTCGTTAAAAGGCCAAACAAGGAATTCAAACAAAAAAAATAAAGTAATTTTCTGTTTTGTTTTATTCTTGGGTCGGGCATTAAAGGGTTAAAGTTGATGATTCAAAAGTGTGACAAATATTTTCTTGAGACTTCCTCAGATCTCCTAAACCCGACTTTAGGGGGTTTAGGAGCTTATCTCCCATTCTGGGGGTCTTGTCTGGTGCAGTGAGGCGTTTAAAGACTTATTTTAGTTCAGGATTAGGAGGTGTTTGTAACAGTTCAGCTCTCGTCTCTTTCCTTTGGGAAGCAACGCACATCTAACCCCGACAAGGCTAAAAAGTAAGTGCATACGCAAATTGTTTTTCTTTTATGGGTCAGTTCCACAACTGAAGCGGCTCCTGATGCTGACCTCGGTCAAATTCTCCCCCTGCTGCTGGCCTCTTTCTTTATGGTGATTCAGGCCAGATTAGGAATTAAAGATTTTTCTTCTCTTTTTCCTGTGGCCTGTACCATCTCTTTTTCGAGCTCTGGTCCTGGCCTGTCAGCCATTGGTCAGTCTGGAGGTCAGAGTCCTAAGGGCTCCAGCCACCACTCGTACCACTGCTGCCCTCTGTTCCTTTTTTTTTTTTTGCAATTTCCTGCTAGTGTCTTTGACATCTTCCAGCTTTCCATATTTTTTCCCCCCTTTTTTCTTGGATTTGGTACATCCTTTTCCCTGTAGCATATCCACGACCACAGGACCCGGCTGGTCAGCCATTAACTCTGGGCCTGGACGTCCAGCAGGAGCTTTGCTGTCATCCTTTCCCCTCTTCGTTCGTATCTCCCACTTTGAGTTTCCAGACTCTGTACAGATGTTCCTGAACACGAGCAGCTCCACTTTACAGGCCGGAGATCTCTTATTCTTCATGAAGGATTCACAGAAATGACTTAAACTCATCCTGTCCTGGTTCTGTTTCTCTCCCTCATGCTGGATGAATTATTCCAACCTGTTTGGATTTGAAGTCTAGGCTAAAACAATTAGTTGACTTTGGAAATCTCAGCAAGCTGCTTCCCTTGTCGTTATGGTTACGCATAGTTACAGCCATAGTTACGATCAGACAGGAGTATCGGTAAAGATCATTCCAGAAACACAGTGTTCCCATCAGATGAAAACAGCCATGCTGTACCTTCATTTTTGTTTTTAGACAAGCTTAACAACGCTGGTTATCTTTGTGCCATCAATCGTGTTTTCAGATAGATTAAGCTGGATTAAGGATGAAAAATGAAGCATCAGACATCTCCAACTCAAGTTTGTAAACTTTTATTCGATATAAACTTCCAAATCACATTATTTTTGATGCAGTTATTCCACTACACAAGAAAAGTAAAAAAAAGACAACAACTTTAAGTTTTTAACGATGAAAAGCCACATTTCTCAACATTCCGAAGCCATCATTTGTTTCCCCCACCGTTTGTCTCAGAAACATCTCAAACCTAAAGGGAATCAGAACCAAGGCTCCCAGCCCTCCCACACTCTGCCCAGCACGTTGGGGTCCGTGGCCTGGTCCAGCAGACAGTCCACCTGCCTCTCCACTGTCAGGCCGGCCGCGGGCAGCCTGGCGCGGACGTTCAGCTCCTCGTCACCCGCGGCGACCAGCTGCATCCCCGGGAAGGCGCCGTCCTTCTCAAAGCCCAGTTTCAGCTCCTCGCTGACCAGACCCAACGGCGAGCATCGCAGAAAGAAATGAAGATTTAAAAAAGCTCTTTTGACTTTGTAGAATTTTCCATAAAGACTACGGTGGGTCTCTGAGTGGATTGGGCCGATACCTGGTTATGGCCGCTGGATTAGCTCCCTCTAGCTTCCTCCGGGCGAAGCTGACCTTCTGCAGAGGGTACCAGTTGATCTCTTTGGTGTCCACGCTCTGCGTCCACGTGCCTCCTTTCTTCAGCTGCTTCATCTCAAAGTTCTGTGTGACACGGAGGGTCCGCGTGCTGTTAAAGGGGACTTTTACGGCACTGTCCGCTGCCTGACCACTGACCGATCGCTAAGCGCCTGTTCGTTCCTCCTGAGCCCCCAGCGGATGGACTGATAACTGACCCCTGGAGGGGGCATTTCTACAACCACCCAACACGGTTGATGGTCATTTAAGAAAGTTTAAAGTTTAAAATTTAATGAAAGACGCAGATTCTGGGAACTGATAATCGATTTTGTAGAAAACACATCGATTCATTCGACGTACGTTTTAATGGGGAAGCTTTTCTCTTTAATTTGATAAATGATAAATGATGAATCGACAATGATTTGACAAATCATAAAAGCCATCGACTTCAGTTTGTAAACCCAATCTGGAATTTTTCTGGTTCACATTTCTTCTAGGACCAAACATTTTCTCAGGACTATTTTAGTTAATATGCTAATTTCTAGGAAAGTTTTTCCAACTTTCTGTGGTCAAAATGAACCACAGCTGGAATCAGAATCAGTCTGTATTTAGAAGCTTAAATACAGTCAATTTGAAATGTGATCAGTTGTTGATATCTTTTTTTTTTAAACTATCTTATTAGATTTGTGTGGCGGGCTGGAAAAATAGGGCTCCGAGTCTTAAGGCGAGGAAAAAAAATTCTTGAGTTTTTATCTGTTTTACTTAGGCGTGAAAGCAGCTGCTTTCATGCTCATAAACTGAGATGATTTGTGAAAAGCGTTTGCTTTAATTTCATACCGACGTGGAATTTGAGTTAGTTTTGGATAAAAAGGGGGAAGAGGGCTTTAGAGGTTAAAGAACTCATGGATTACAGCTCGGTTTGGACTGTAAATACACAGCGTGATGATAAAAACCTTTGACGGACAGGTATCTGGATATTCCTTCACGGACAGATTTGGGCCACCTGGTCTTTTTTACCTTCCAGTCCAGAGAGGGCTCCTTGACGAACACGTCCATGGTGTTGAGCAGGAGGTCCGGCTCGGCCCGGTAGGCCCGCAGCGAGTGGACCATGGTGCTCTGGACCAGCCCCGCCTCCTTCAGGGGCTGCATCAGATTGACAAACTGCTGGCTCAGCCGGAAGGGCATCAGCTCGGGGACGGGGAGGAACTGGGATAGAAAAGATAAATAAACACATTTTTAAAAAAGGCAGCCTAATTCGCTTTTCGATGTGCTGACATTTCTGAATGGACTGACGGCTATGCTAATATGATGTCTTAGCTTGACTGTTTTGGTTTAATATGCGCCCATTCGACTGGTAAACATGTAATATGCTCATTTATATGAGAGTTTTTCCAGCCCTCTGTGGTCAAAATGAACAACAACTTGAATATGAATGAGTTTGTATTTAAAAACTCGAATACATTGCTTTCTATTTTGCCTCAACGTTGCGGTTAAGTCAGTGTTTTGGGCCCCGAGAGGAAGTGATTCTCCTCCCTTTAGTTCCTTTTTAACCATAAAAAAGTAAGAAACTGAAAATGTTCCTACTGCACGGTGTAAAGGAGAGGATAAGACATAATCTTGGCACTGGGGCTGTTAGTGGATATTCAGTTTTTTGTTTGTATTCCACGGCATTTGCATGAGTAAACTACATAAACTGAGCAAAAACGGCAAGAAAATAGTACTATATAAAGTTTAATGTTTACTAGCTCATTCAAGGAACAGAATATTTATAAATCCCATCCATTCAGCACAGCCAAAAAGGCTTTAACATATTTTTAAAATATAACCCCACCACTATCTCCAAAGGGATTTACTGTTTTTTTTTGGTTGTCCGACAGCAGTGTAATGTAGCAATAAACATATTTAAAAAAAAGATTTTGGGGTTCTGGGAGCAGATTGTATCATCAGATGAGACCTAAGTAAATCTCAGACAAGCACAGAGGGGAGAGTGTGATGATATGGGGTTCATAAACCAGAAGAAATATATGCAACATATTTCCTTGACTGTCCTCTGGTTCTTGATATAAAATCAAAATGAATGAGAGCTTGTTCTTTGAAGAGCTCTCGTCAGTAGAAAACAATGCCTTGCTGGACTCACCTGAGTGGCCGATCCGAAGGCGTGGCCGAAGTCGATGCCGATCATTCCTCCGGTCTCCATGTTGATCATGAAGTTGGAGAGGTGGCGGTCTCCGATCCCCAGGATCCAGTGGCTGACGCACAGCAGGGCGTGCGAGCTGATGAAGTGGGAGCGCAGCGACAGGAAGGCCTCGGGGCTGTTGCACATCTTCAGGAAGGCTCTCCTATAGGTCAGAAAAAAAGGGAAGGCTGCAGTTCCAACTTTGGCCGGCACGCGTTCGGAGCCGGTGCTGGACTTACTTCAGCAGGTCGCAGGGCACATGCTGCGACACCTTCAGGAAGTTGCTGACTGCGTCGGCACGTTTCGCTTTCCTGGGAAACAATAAAGAGGATTTACACCAGATGTGTGTGTGTGGATATATATACATATATAAATATATACTTCACACACCAACTTTATCCAACTTACTTATATGCATGTCCATATAAAGCAATACCGCACAAGTTTGTTTTTAAAGCTAAGTTTGAGAGCCATTTCCTGTAGATTTCTGGACACCTTAAAGAACAACAAAAACAAACCCACTGTTAGTTGAAAATGTAATATATAATGTACGAATATACATTAAGCCGAATATACATTACCTTGCTGCCCTTTGCTGCTCCCCCTCGGTCATTGTGTTGTACAGAAACTCTTTTAGAGTGCAGGTGTTTTCCATCCATTCAATCAGACCAATTCTGAACAAAGGAATCATTCATATTTAATATTAATACACTTAATATTATGTGTGGAAATGCCCTGAGATCTTTATTTATGATTGAACTAATGCTACTGTGAAGCCTTCTTTCTTTACTGTACTGGATATAGCAAAAAAACCCCAAAACAACTTAAACTCGACGCCATTTGAATTGCACCTGGTGGTTATGGGAATAACTTGATAGGTGCGGAGCTGAAGGCCTCGGCGCGTGCACGCCGTGTCGTGGCTCAGCAGGATGTTCATGACGGAGAAGAGCTGCTCGATGCGCTGGTCCTGCCGGAGGTCCTCCCCCCCTTTCACCAGGAAGGGGTGGTCCCGCTCGTCGTCCCCGCGAATGACCAGACGCTTCGGACGTCGGATGGAGGACATCACTTTTACCTGCAGGGCGAAATATCCATGAGGACGACGGACCACATGATGCGTTTGTAAGGGGGGCGGGGGGGGCTTAAACAGTTAAACTGACCCGTTCATCAAAGCCAGTTATCTTGGCGTGATACTCCGGTAGTGGTTTGGATCTGCCGTCATACTGTCCTGCAAAAGAAGGAAAGGAAGAGAATAAGGTATTTATTTCATAAGGTATTTTAAAAAGGGAATCCTCAACCACATTTATTCGAGAGAAATTTGGAATTTTTCTTGTTCGCGAATGGGGGTGGGGAGCGTGAGATAGACAGGCGGATCGGTGTGGCGTCTGCAGTAATGCGGGCGCTGCACCGGTCTGTCCTGATGAAGACAGGGCTGAGCTTAAAGGCGATTCCCATCCTCATCTATGGCCACGGACTTTGGGTAGTGACCGAAAGAACGAGATCACGGATACAAGCGGCCGAAATGAGTTTCCTCCGCAGGGTGGCTGGGCTCTCCCTTAGAGATAGGCTGAGAAGCTCAGCCATCCGGGAGGGGCTCAGAGTAGAGCCACTGCTCCTCCACGTGGAGAGGAGCCAGTTGAGGTGGCTCGGGCATCTGTTCAGGATGCCTCCTGGTCGCCTCCCTGGGGAGGTGTTCCGGGCTCGTCCCACCGGGAGAAGGCCCAGAGGAAGACCCAGGACCCGCTGGAGGGACTATGTGTCCCGGCTGGCCTGGGAACGCCTCGGGATCCCAGAGGGAGGGAAGTCTGGGTTTCCCTGCTCAGGCTGCTGCCCCCGTGATCCGACCCCGGATAAGCGGAGGAGAATGGATGGATGGATGTGGAACGTTATCTACCGATGGGGAGCGATTGTGTGCCGACAAACCTGGGATCTCCAGCTCGTTCATGAACGGGTCTGCTTTGAACCCGCTCAACCAGGGCGAGTATTCCTTCAGGTTCCCCGGCTCTTTCTGGAAGCCACGCATGGCGGCCGCCAGCTTTTCCACCTGCTGCAGGAAGCTCTTGTCTCTCCTCTTCTCAAACAGGTGACTGCCGTTGGGCCCCAGCAGTTTTTCGACGTCTTTGGAGAATTTCTGTGGCCGACACAACAGCAAAATGGTGGACCAGCACACACACAAAACAGGACGGCGCAGACACAGATGCATCCCACTGATCGACCAGGTTACCGGCAAAAAAAGATCAGGCATCTAGAAATGTATCACCTTATTTCATTTTAAGAGTAGAGGCCGATTAGGCATGTGATCCAATCAAATAAAAGGGGTACAACCTACATATATCTAGAGAGAAAAATACACTTCAAACTTAAAATCTGTTGAGGGGAATTCTAAATGACTTCTATTCAACTTTCCTGGCTCAATGTTCTTTATTATACTCTGAAGATAAATAATGTATTGGCTTTTTAACAAATCTTTTCTTACATTTTGGGTTTAATTCTGCAAGTTAGTAAAAAGGAAAACTAGTGGCAAATAGAAGCTATGTGTAATAAATCCACATGCTAGTTGAACTGTAACGGACTCTGATAAAGAATCATTGTACAAAACGTCAGTAGGTTAGCTTTAATATTTTAACTAGCAAGCTAAAAACAGCGAGTTTTGCTTTTAACAACAAATAGTTCAAATGTGTTTTGTCAGTTCTGGCTTTTTCTCTGAAAAAAAAAATCAGTATTTTTCATTAAACACCAGCAATGAAGTAATCTGTTTAATATTTTAATCAAATCTTTACGAAAAGGCGTATATAGCAGTGGATGTGAGTTGACAGAAGACCAAAATGTACATTTTCGGTAGTACGATGCCACATTAGAAACTCCACTGACTCACCTGGATGAATTTCTTCCGAAACCCTCCATGACCCTCGGCGGAACGGTCTCCGAGGGAAGAGTGCAGCTCGGCGTACACCTCATTCATCCTCTTCTTGTCAAATTTGGGCTTTTCCAATTCGTTCTTTACACCATCCCACCAATCCTGTTTTAGACAAAATAATGACGCTCGATGTCAAAGCTCCAAAAAGCTGCTCGTCTGACTTGTGACTGGAGATGCGTTCGTCACCTTAAAAATCATGTCAGGATTTGTAAGCTGCTGAAGAGCATCAACGAAGTTCTTCACAGAGCCTTTATTGTCCAACCTGCTCATGAGCCTGGAAAGACATCAACGATATTCACAGATGTCCGTCTTCTTGAACATAGATTTGCAAGTAAACCAACTATCCACCAATAGATCTCCATATGTGCTACCCATACAAAGTAGTAGGTACAGTACCTTTGGACAAACTCCTGGTGCTGGTGTCCCGTAGCCGAGTTCTCAAACTGGTAGCTCTCTCTGCTGATCATGAGCGCGTAAACTAGTGCCTGAGGGTAGCACGTTGCTATTTGATCAATGCAGTGCTGCACCGCCACGGCTTCTGGCTTGTCCAGTAAAGCCACCATTTGGCTGATCCAGCCAATCAGCATCCAGCACGGAACCGACGTGATCTAAGGGAAGAACGCGTTCCAGGATATGGCAACAAATCCAACTGAGACTCCAAAGTAAACAGTTTTACTGTTTTTATCCATTCACTCCAAAGGTCCTAGTCAGCCAGACAAAGTTCTTAAGAATAAATCTAAACGCATACGTACTCTGAGCACCAATGAGAAATGGGAAAGACATTAAAGAAGCTGCTAGACTGACCTCTGCGGTCATGAGGCTCAGGGTCTCGGATGGATACAGCTCAATGATCTGCAGCAGGCGTGGGAACTTAAGACGAGCCTCCTCTGAGTTCATCTTCAGTGCTTTCAACATGCTGCTCACTACATGGACAGGCAGTGCTAGACTGTCTGGAAGCTGGCTTTCTGAAATCAAATGCACGTGTGAGACAAATAAAAACACCACCTGAAAGACATGATAAAGCACCATCTGTCAATTAACTTTTACTCCCATTATAGGCCACCTTAAGTAATACTATTTATCAGTCATATTCACAATAACAAAAAAAATAAATATATATCTTAATTAAGGACAGCGGGATTAGTGAAAGCCACTTACTGGTGTCATTCTGCTCCTCCTCACGCAGCAGCTCATCACAGAAGTTAGCCAGAGCCATGTAGGTCTCTATGACCCCGCTGGAGTCCACAAAGTCCTGAGAATAAGACTGGAGCTCCTCCTCAGCCTTTTTGGTCCCTTCGTGGAACAACTTCAGTGCCTTCGACTGCAACCCAATTTCCACCTCCTGCAGGGGTTGTCAGCTTCTTAAAAATGCGTCACCATCACAACCGCCACTGGTTTCCATTATCAGGTAAAGGATCTCTAAGATGAATTCATGTTGGGTTTAAATGTGCTTCTGGTGCTTCCGGTTAAAACAACCCGTCCCACAGACCTGGCTGCATTCAGAAAGGAGCTAAGATTTATTTATTTATTTTGCACTCATGCTTTTGGGGTACTCTAGCAGTAAAATTTGCTTAAAGCACATTTCTATTAGGCCATGTAAATATGCAGTTTGTATCAAATTTGAAACGGGACAATAAAATCCAATGTGATCAAAAAAAGTTACAAAAAACAACAAAAAAAAAACAACATATTTTTTGTGTAAACTTTAAAGTGCCGCTGAAAGATTGAGATACCTTTGAATCTGTATTTGGTTGAACAACTCCTGAGAGCGTTACGACTTTTTCTTTTTTCTCGGGCTCAATAGTTGCCAGAACCGACGGGCTTTTGCCGACCGCTGCAGCCAGGATGTGGAACGACGTGCCCTGGAGGATCTTCTGGTGTCGGAAAACCTTGCTCGAGGCGTTGCGACAGTCGGCCTGAAGGTCCTCTGCGGAGAAACGGGAGGTGATGCGACTCATCGTTCCGAGCCCTAAACTGAGGATTTGATTCTCCGTCTTACCCAGGAGGGGGATAACCTTCAGCATGGTGCTGATCTGCTCAAGGGGGCCCTGCGTGTGGCTGCGCTTGTGACTGTAGCGGCTAAAACAGTGGACCCAGCGCAGCAGCCGGCCTCTGTCTGCTTTCGCTTCTCGGTGAAGCTCTTTCAGCAGCTTGGTGGAAACCGGAAAGTTTTTCTGAAAAAAAAAAATGTTGTGGTTCAAAATGATCTTTAACATAAAAAACAACTACACTAAAGCAAGAGACAATAAACGCCCTCAGAATTCAATTCAGCACCTGTTTCCACGCACTGTCAGCCATGCGAAGCTTCATGTTGAACTTGCAGTCGTTCACTAAGGTGTCGACATCAGCCGCTGGCTCCTGGGAATCCTCCACCTCCATGCTGTCGCTGGGAGATGGGTCTCTCAGCTTTTCCCGGATTTTATCTAAAAAGAAACACCTGAGCGAGAGTTGAAAAACAAATCCAGGTCAGTTCATTTGAAATTTTCCATAAAATAAAAAGACAAAAAAAAAACAATGGCTTCCTGGTCTTGTTGTTTTTACCGAGACGTAATGATGTCGTCCCACACGTTGACCGGATCCACCTTAGCATCAGGATATCTGTCAGTCCATAATCGAATAAGGCGCTTCAGGGAGCTCACAGACACTGATGAAGACAAAAAAACAACAACAACAACAATAATTAAACTAAGTCTAAACAACAAGAAAGAAAAAGACTAATAGCCATGTTAACAGACCGTCTCCTTTAACGAACAGCAGGAAGTCCTGGATCTCAGTCAAGGCCTGCACCGACTGCAGGATGGTCAGTCGACTCTGGGTCAGCAGGGTGTCCACGCTGCAGTAGCTCTGCACACGCACAAAGATCCAGCACAAACCTATCAAAATCTACAGCAGACACTGAAACATTTCTGCTCATTCGTTAATACTATAAGGGTATGTATTATAGATGAAAAAATTATATTCTTCCAGCTTCAGAACATAGATTTGGGAGGGTAAAGATACGTGAAAATTACATGAAAACAAAGTTGTAGCTTAGTTCAAATAAAAATCTCATTTAGAGAGATTCAGATTTCTACATCACACTCACAGTTTCTTGTTTCCAATTCAATGTCAAAACATGCTACAAATACAAAAAGTAATTCTATAGTTAACTGGACTGAATGCTAATGTGTGCTAATGTGAGTTAGGCAGTTCTATACTTAAAATAGTGCTAAAGGTTTTAAAAATAGGCAGAACATGTCTTCTTTATAGCATATTTCTACAGAAATGTGTGGAAAAAGCTAGTTTTATTTAAGGATTAGATGGTTTGATGCAAAAAGAGGCAGGTTGCACCTCCATGAAGAGCTGCATGGCGTTGTTAGTGTAGTATCTGGCACGGTCGTAGTCCTCCTGCAGGATGTAGAGCAGGCTCAGCTCCTGGCTGTACTGGCTCTCCAGCAGCTTTTTGCGCTCCTCCACCCTCATGGCTTTATCAATGAAGCTCAGGAGAGTTTGGTCTGTTTCGCCCAGCTGCAGCTGCTTCAACATGCTGCGGATCATGTGTTGCAGGTACATAACCTGATGCAAAGAAAAGATGAAAAAGGTGAGGTACACACTACCCATTTTCTCTTATTTATGACCAGAAATTAACAATTAGAAGGATATTTACATATCACAAACGGAGGACATTATTTACTGTTATTTGTGTTACCTGGTAGAAAGGCTCTGACCATATCCTTTCCAGGTCTGGGGGAGAGTTTTTATCTATGTACACAGTAGAACAGTACTGAAGAAACTTCCACTCAGCTAGCTGATTGTAGGCCTCCATAGCAGCAATTTCCCAGAAGTCCTTCTCAGAGTCGGTGGGTTCGCCGTCCTCCCAGTTCTCAGTGTTCAGGGCCTGCCGTTGGGGAGAAACGACAATGCCAAAGATGGATTTTCACCACTGCCGGGCTCCCAAAGCCCCGTTTTAAAGTTTCACGATAAATAAAGCGGACTTGACTATCGGGCTCTCACAGCAGAGCCCCGTACCTCGTTGTAAAGCTTCACAGCTTCTGAGTAGTCAGTGTTGGCTTCAGCTTGGAGCGCTGTGCAAGTGATCGACTTGGTGCCAACTTTTCCACCAAAGATGCCTCGCATGACATCATAGTCCTCCAAAGATCTGTAAAGCCTGGTTGAGACACAGTACTATTGTTAATCATGCGGATAACGTGCCTGTTAGCTGTACCTGTGCTTAGGCACCATTTAATGGATTTTTTTACCTTGCGAGGTGGATCCATTTATTTGTGTCCGGGGGGATTTCTTTGTGTCCTCGTGCCCGTTTGGCAGGGCGCTCATCCGGCCCACTGGCATGCAGCAAATCCTCCTCCAGCAGCAGGATCCCCGACGGCTGCTGGAGGCTAACCAGGCACGTGGAGCTGACGGCTGCTGGATCCAGCTGCCGCAGATCCTCGTTCTGATAACACATGTCCTAATAAAGCAGGATACAAATCAGTAAAACAGGATATAATCTCACCAGGCTGAGCCAGGGCATAAACGGCATGGAAAAAGTCACGTGTCATTTCGGTATTTCGAAAATGATTCAAGATTTTTCTCTAAAATTCTTGTATACCTGCACGCAGGAAATGAAAGGCGGGAAGCAGAGCGTGCTCTTGCTCAGGAAGGTGTTCATGTTGCACCGCAGCTCCTCTTTAATCCTCTGACTCTTCTCTGCACTGCTTTGCTCTTTCATTTCTCGGAGGATTCCGGAAAACAGGGAGCTGAACAGCTGTTTGGCTAAAATGGGATCTCTCTGGGAGAAAGGAAAATAAAAAGTCAAAAGGTCAAAACTTTTTACTCTTTTTCTGTCAAAGACATTTCCAACGTGGCTAGTGAGAGGGAGCTACCTGCGCCAGGGCTTGAAGGGGAGTGATGAGGTTGCTAAAGGGGATCTGAATATCGGGAAAGTCCCCCACTCTGTAGCTACGATACAGAGTCACCTGAGCTTCCCTCCGCAGCCTCTGATCAGCCTTTTCTTCCTGTAGAGCAAACGCAAACCTACGTTAAAGTTCAGAGCAGCTAGTTTTGAATCACTACTTTGAAGTAACACAAAAATCCTATTTGATGTATATCTCAGTGATTTTTGGAATATTGATAGTGTGATATCTTTTGACTGCAAGTTAGTACCAGTGGGATTCTTTCTGACAAAGCAGGGAATGTGTTAAACTTTGAAAATTATTTTACCTAGTGTGAATTCATTATTGTGAAGTTATAGCAAAATCCTGTTCTGTGCATGTCTAAGCGAACGCTGCTTATTTCTGGATTTATACTGGATGATTGGCTGGAGTTTTAGCCTTCTGATTACCTTTTTCTGCCTCTGTTGTTGGATTTCCTTGGTTGCGAAACCCAAGCTGACTTTCTCCTGATCCTTGAGGAATCTCCTCCTCAACCTCAGGATGTTACTGCGCCGCTCATTCTCAGCTGTGCACAAAAAAAAGTGTCTTTCTCAAGCTATACCCATATAGGCTGAACTCTCATTTCCGCAGCAGGTCACAACGGTTTGTTTTTCATCATTCGGGAGAGATGGGATGCTGTTTTTCGGCCTCTTTGCTACTGACCTCTTGTGCGACTGTCCACCTCGTCCGTTGAGGCGGTCAGGCGCCTCAGGCCGAAGCCTTCTCCCACCGGCCTCCTCGCAGACGTCGGCCTCTCGGCCTTCTTGTCAAACACCAACAGAGAAGACAGGGACTCGGAGCCAAGGGAGTACTCTGCTAGCGTGTCCACGCTGCTGCCCGTCAGCCAGTTATAGGCGGTGCGCCGGCCTAAAAGAGGAAAGCCACCCCCACAAAGAACAGCATTTTTAACCGGTGCATTTGTGATCAACGCTGTGTAACCATATTTTCCGACGGGGGGGCTACCGGGCGCTTGGGTTTGAGAGAACTCCAGCGACGTTTGAGTGGCTCGAAGCTTCCCCTTCATGGCTACAGACTGGGAGGCTGCCACGCTCTCTGGGGCCTGAGAGCTCTGGGTGTCCACAAACATAGGTGTCATCACGGTGCTCCGAAGGCGCCAGTTGGAGTCAATCACGTAGTCCTGCGGGGAGAAGGGGAACGTAACACATTAGGCTCAGCGGTAAGCTCCAGATAACTTTTTTTCTTTGGCTCGACGTCGGAAAAGCGCGCGCCGACCTGGAAGGTGCACTCCGAGAGAGGAAACTCAAACATGTTTCTTTTGAAGTCCGGGCTCTGGCTGGTCATTTCCAGCATCAGGTTGGTGGCCAGGCTTAGATAACACCTCTCTATCTGGCAGGAGTAGAGCGAGCGCAGCACCGTCAGCATTCGCTCCAGCGTGGCGGTGGGGAGGCGCCGCTCCTGGCTCCAGAAGTTACGGACATACAGCCTGAAAACAGGAGCAGCAAAGGGACGGGGTGTAAGACCAGCAGAGAGACGGCACTTTGTGAAGAAAAGACCCTCCGCTCAGAGCGTTTTACAGGCGCCGCTTACTGAAGGCCCTGGTTTTCGTCCGACAAGCCCTGGAGCAGCGTTTCTTTAGCCGCGTTCAGGAGCTCTACTGAGGTGCTGTCGCTCATGCTTTCATCATCACTGGAGGGGGGGAACAAAAACAAAAAACACACAATAAATTTAATAAAAAAAGAAATGACAGGGCTCTGATCAGATGTTTTCAGAGTGCGTCTACCCATGTAGACACACTTCAAGTGCTCGTACAGATGCCCCCAAAGAGGCACACGTTTAAGAAGATAAGGAACAAAGGTGTAAATATTAGGCGTGGTTAAAGGCTGGGATATTTGCAGTTTACTCAGAAATCTGTGTACCACTGACCACTACTACCACTTTTCATGCTTTTAATTTCTAAGCCAAGAAAACTAATAAAGTCTAGCCTAAAAACAAACATACGGTTCTAAATCAATCAACATTGTGGTCGTTTACGGAGTAAATTTTTTAAGGGTACTCGCAATCTATTTCCCCCTTAAGCACCTTTACTAAAAACAAATCTAGCTGGTCAGAATAACCAAGAATGGCAACAAACTTAAACATCCATAAAATGCCCATAAACTTAATTTGAACACATTAAAAACAAACATTGCTTTTAAGGTTGTTTTGACTAGCTTTGTTGCAAACATTTATGGGCTGTCATAAAAAAAAAAGTGAAATCACAGCTTTCGACAAAAATCTAATTTTCTGATTGTGGATTCAAGTCATCTCTGTGAATCAAGCTATTCATTTGTATATACATAAATATATAAATAAGACTTGGCTATGACAATCAAATTTATTTGGCTACAGCTCAGTGGCTTAATGTGTTGTGATTTGGCCTATGTGGATAAAATTAGATTACACTGAAATTCAAATAGTCTATGATGTGTAAATTGACATAACCAATAAGATAAAATGAGAAACAAAAGCCTGGATATGTGACCTGTAGTTGTCCTGAATCCACATGAGGATGTCGTACATCCTCTCCCTGCAGACAGGTGAGGGCTGGGACACGAAGGCCGTCACAGCTCCCAGCAGCTCCTGAAGCTCCACCGGGGTGAGGCGGGCCAGAATCTTGTGGATTATATCCAGACATACTCTCTGTCTGGCCTCATCCCTGAAAGGAGCACCATGCAGAGAGGGAAATATTAAAGCTAGTTTTATTTTCAACAGAAGTTTCCGACACAATGACAAACGGATCCGGCATGGATAAAAAAGTGGAAGCTCATCCCCAAATGAAAAACAACCTCTGATCCGTGGACAGAAACCCCTTAAAGAATGCGGTTCAACTAAATGATGGAAACCAAACTACAGAATCCAAACTACTACTACTACAGCATATATCCCTTGGCTTAAACTTTGTAACTTTAAAAAGTGGACAGATTTGGTGAAATATATATTTTAAAGAGTTTCAATTGAGGAATTGAAACAACAGGGTTTAACAAAACATGATTTTTACAGATTTCTACAGACACCACTTAAAAGAGGACTTGAGGAAGGCTTGGCCAACTGTTCTGTTTTTTTTTTGTACATTTATTTATCGATTTTTTAAAAACGTCATAAATCAACTCCAGCGTTTAGATACACCTCTAAACTACATACTAGAATATAGGACTTGAAGGGAGAAATGACATCATATATAAAGGGGAAAGGGAGGGACAATCCTCAATGCATTTGGTAGTGTGGGAAAAGTAAGAAGAAAAAGAAACTGGGAAAGAACTCTGTGACGGAAAGAGTTTGGGTGGAAGAATTTGATGAGATGTATTAGAACACGTGTTTAAAACAACCACCCATTGAAGGAGTTAAAATGCTGGAGATCCAGGGCCCGTTAAGATAGCGTTACTGGCTTGGAGTATGGAAAATAACGGTACAATAACAGTACCGGATGCAACAATTCCCAACACTTTTCACTCCATATGTTTGGGACTGAGGCCACAGACAGTGTTTCCCAACAGCTAGTAAGAAAGCACTACAAAGGACTTGCATGATAATGGGCTTTGCTACAGATGAAGACTGGGATCTTTAGATAACTGATGACAACCATTTTAAAAAACAAAAACCTTGAATTGGTTTCTGTCGGTTTTTTAAAAATCTACCCTTTCTTACTTCAGTTTTTCCTAATTTATTTATAATTTAAAATCATTTATTTATTTCCTTCTTTATTTTGTACGTATTTTGTGCTACTGAACATAGAGAAAAACGTGTGTCCCTAAACAGCCGGCTGTAGTTCGTTAATGTGAAGCTTTAAATGTTCGTAAGTATATAAAAAAAAAAGAACAAAAAGGAGGGCGGTGTGGTTGGGTCTCACCTGTGTCTCATCATCTGAACGAAGCCTGAGTTCTTCAGCTGGAGAAAGATGTCGGGAATAACATCGGCCCGGCTCAGCACACACTCCAAACAAAGAGTCTTTAGGATACCGTGCAGCTTCGGAAGGAGGAAGAACACGAGGTTGACAAAACTGGAAATTGGAATTGAAAAATAGAAAAGAAAGAAGTTAGCTTAGTGTTTGGTTAGCTTAGCACAGGGCTGACCAGGGTTGATTGGAATTGATGCATTCACAACTCAAACGTACCGATCCATAAAGGGAGGAAAGTGCTTGGACACTTTATTCAAGCAAATGATGAACTTGTCGTCCAGATCTTTTTTCTTCAAGTTTGATACTTGTGTTGCAGCCAAACTGAGAAGATCCTGATGATGCTGAAAGAAAAGGATAACGACATTCTAACTCTATTAACTTAATTATAGGTAAAATAAAATAAAAATAAAAAACAGAAGGAAGAAAAAGAGGGGAAAATTCATACACTGCCGGTTTCTGTCATGCTCTTCAGAACGAGGCCGACAATTTCAGCAGCGGCTGAGTAAACTTCTTTATACCTCACGAATGACATGTTGCAGGTGAGGGACTGGATATACCTGAGGACACACACAGCACAGGCTTAGCAAAAAAGCATTAAGTAGAAAAAACCCCATTAAGATTAAAAATCTATTTTGCAACACAGTTAGGGCTAAGATAGCAGAAAGACATTTATTTAGACACATGACATGGGATTTAAAGAAGACTTAAAATCCTTCAAGGTTAGATTCTATAGTCCACCTTTCGTATTCAATGCCACAGGAAGGATTGTAAGCAGGGAGGTTGTTGGCGAGGATGATTCCCAGCAGCTGGAGTCCGACAGAGTTGTCTTTGCTGTTCGGGTCGGTGCCACAAAACCGGTCATATATCAGACTAAGCAGGGAAAGAAAAGATCCACAATCAAGAACAAGCTCAGTTCAATTTTTGGACAAGATTTGTAGGGGAAAAAATATCTAAATGTCATCTTGAATTTTGATTTTTATTCCAATTCAATGTTTTGTTTATACCTTCTCTTTTTGTAAAACAGACGTAACAAAAAAAACAGCCACCTTTATCATATTTTTTTCAATGCCACTACTACATGTGTAAAATACATGCTGCCTTTACCTTTTCCTCTGACCATGGTCAACTGTTATAAGTCAAATCAGCATTATTCATGTTGTATAAAAGCTAAAAAAGATGAGCACTGAATAAATATAAATAAGACAGGGGCCAAAAAACAACCTATAAACTACATTGGGTTCAGACAGTTAAATAACTAAAAGAACCAATGCAGAGTTCCTGGAAATAATAGCTAATCAGACTTATTGAGAATGTTCCGCTCTTAAAATTGTCTACATCTTTTACTGAACCACATTTTTACTTTTCTTAACTTGCACATCATTTGTAAAATTTAGATTATTTAACCTCTTCACCCTGTTTTCCAACCCTTTAGTGCCATAATCTACACTTCAGACGGGTTCTTGTGATGAAACGTACATTTATTTGCAGAATGAAGATGGCAGCTGTACCGGCAGCTTTACCGCTCGTATATCTTAATGAATCTAACAAAGAAAACGCAAGCTTTGATTCAGCTGATTATCACCGCGGGAGTTGACCGGCCTCTTGCTTTCTCTGGCCTGTGGACGGCGGGGGCTCGGGGAGAGTGTTTTAGCCCTACCTGTAAGGCACGTGCAGACAGTCTTTCCAGCACTCCACCAGAGTGCGAATGATCTCCAGGTTGTGGCGGAAAACGGCCCGTTTGGAGTGAAAGCTGTGCTTCATCAGGAACTCCAACAGCCGGTTGGCGAGGACTTCATCTCTGGGGTTATCCTGAGAGGAGGCAAAATGGTGGAGAGAGATTGCACAGTGGCTATAGAAGAGGCTCTTGTTAACCTTTTGAAAGGCTGGGTCTTAATACCCACAAAGGCCCACTTTCTTTTTTTTTTTTAACAGGAATACAGTAACAGTTGTCTGATGAAAAACCTTCTGTTGACCAAGTCCTGTCAATGTGACTTTGACTAGTACCACCCCACCTCTCTACACATCTCAAGTGAACAACCTTCCCACCTGACAGTGGTTAATAAAAGAGATACTCAAAGAGTCCAGGGCCCACCACTGAATCCAACGCAGCGGCCACAAAGTGTCAGCACCTACCTTGGGCGTGGCCAAGCTTGTCCAAGAGAGCACAGTCACCACGATATCCACCACCATGAAATGGATTCCCACCCCGCCGTTGTTTCCAGACACGACCAACTGCAGGAGCGGCCCCAGCCAGTGTTTGGCATATGGCCGGAAAACCTAAACAAAACAAAACAAGAAAGCTAGAAGATTAAATCCACAAATGAAAAGAGGTTGTAGGAATGGGTTGGATTGGCTGACGCGTCTACCTCCTCTGTGTTGATGATCAGCTTGGAGATGAAGAGTCGGATGTTAAGGGGCGTTGTGGAATTTGACAGCTTTCCGTGTAGAAACTTCATCCAAGGAGGAAGCTCACTGGGCACGTTTCCCTGTGGGACACAAAGTCATTGGTGCTTGCAGCCATCACCCTGTAATCTGCGCTATGTCATGCGATTTGATTTCGAAACAGCGCAATTCCCTTTTTTTAGTAAAACTCGATCAGGAGAAAGGAGAACCTTTTCAACTTTGGGGGTTATGTTGTTCCTTTGCATGTGTCCGATCAGAGCGGCCATGGCAGCCATGCATTCATGCTGGTTCAACTCATCCATCTCTAGATCCACCATTGCCTCCTGGGAGGGATTTGCCTCCTCTGTCTCCTACACGTTCAAGAAAAGGACCAAATCATTAACTTAAAACCATTCTAAGACGTACTTAAACTGATAACAATGAGCCTCTGCAGTAGCATTTAGAGCCACCTTTTTTGCCACTGTCCGTTTTTGTCCCGCTGGGTTCTGGGAGCTCAAGGAGAAGCTTTGGACTCCTGTAGAGAAGTCAAACTGGCTCATCTCCTCACTCAGGCTGCTGTCAGCCATGTAGGACTGGGAGGACAGGTACACCGGCGCTTCTATGGCAACCACAGTATAAAGAAACACATTTGAAAAGGCTGATATGTGTCACCCATCAGTGTCACAGCCTTGATGTCCCCTGCATTTACAAAAATGGCGTCGTTCGAATTGAAGCTAATAACGAGCCGTTACCTCCGTTCTCCTCGCTGACTTCTTTTCGAATCATGATGTATTTTTTCTTTCTTTCAAGTGCAACCTGCAATGATACAGGAGAAAGGTTACATAAGCCACGTGGGATAGTGAAGCTAACAAACAAACATCCAACAAAAGTAAATTCAACAACATACCTCAACCTCGACTGGAAAGCTGTAGGTCCTTTCTAAATCAATGAGGTTTTCCAGAATGAACTGATTCTGGGTGGAAGAATGAAAGTCAGGAAATTAAAGTAAAGCCTTGCAAGCGAATACAGGCTCCATTTCTATTTAACTATATTTAATTTTAAAACAAACATTGACATAAAGTCAATGGCATAGATTTTATAGCATGTACAAATGAAAATCCTCCTTTAAAATAATGATGTCGGCATCATAGTTTTGACGCTGAAATCTTACAGCCAGTCAGTAAAATGACTATAGAAAGGTTCTGGTCTTTCTGAAAACTTGAATAAACAAAGAGTATACCATTAAAAGCATAAGATGTCCATAGCTAATATGGCAATTTGAAGGTAGTGCAAATGATTATTATTTTATTTTTTTTGGAGGAGGGATGGTTGTTCGCTGCAGGACGTAGTATCATAAAGAGAAAATAAATCTTTGTGTGAATCTAACCTGTTTTTAGACCAGTTGTAAAGGGAAATCATGAGCTTTGTCCTCCACATTAAAGGCCAAAGAAACATCCGGTGTTCAGATCAGCTTCACGCATTTACTTACATTTTATTTAATAAATTAAATTAAAAGAACAACAGCCTCTTCCTTTCAAATTAAACATCGTTACAATCTTTGTTAAGGACTTGGGAGTCAATAGGATTATTTTAGGGCGGCTTAATCAAACTATGTTCTGTCCATAGATGCCTGGTAGGCAACAGATTTGAGTTTTACATCAAAGTCCTGGTGGCCAAATCCTTACCGAGCAGATCGGTGGTCCTTTTTAGATTTTGTATTATATGGGAAACTTTAAAAAAGTGATCTCTGCTAGATCTAGAATAAAGTAAATTATTGATTCAGGTGCTGCCTCTGTTCACAAATAAAATCCCAGCTCCTATTAAGCTGCGTCAACCATAAAGATTCTGTCAGGAAAAAAATACAATCTGATCTTCTCTCTTCTCTTCATCTTTTTGGAAATAGACATTGCAAACTTTCTGCATACTTTAAGAAATCGGTAATTAAATATATATTGCAACCATTGTTATATAATAAAAATATTCTACTGTGATTTTTCTATTTGAAGGCAAAACAAAATCATATTTCTATTGAATCCATTCAAATAGGAGTAAAGTTTCTTATTATGTTGACCTTCAACAGGCTGTCTGATGGTGTCGTATTAAGATCGGTTGCCTTATGCTAAAAGGGTTCTTGGTAGCATCTCGGGTTCATGTTTTCCCTGTCCAGTGTGACACTCTCCTCCTTTCCAAAGCATTGTGTTTTGTGGTAATTCTAAATTGCCCCAAACAGTGCCTGTGGAGTAGATGTGTATGTGGCTGCTCTACTTCAAATATTTAACACGTATGCAACCGCTCACATTAGAGCAACATCTGGTAGTTCCCCATACACCAGTACCAGTACATACAGGACCCAGTATGTACTGTTTGGCTTCATCTTAGAGAACCAATGTATTTTAAAAGGGAACCTTTTTTTATGACGCATAATCTCCATGGGTTCTGGAGTAATCCTTTTTCAAAGCTCCATTCACCTTTTCATGTCCATCTCACCCAGGATCACTGGCACAGATTGGGGGGGGGGGGTTGTGTACTGAGCCGTACCTTCTCTGGCTTCTCGCTGAACAGGAAGCCGTGGTAGAATTTAGGCTCGCTGAAGCTGCAGCTGATGACGGCGATGGCGCAGTTGTACGCGGCGCAGTGGTAGTGCCTCCGGAGCGCCAGCAGCTGAGTCTCGCCGGCCATGTTCTCAGTGAAGGCCTCAAAACACGACCTGTGCGCCACAGAGACAACCCAATCATGACACGCCCAGAAAAGCTGTGCCGGGATAACAATAAAACGTTGAAGATTCTAGGAAAAAAAATGTTTTAAAAGATGGAGACACACTTGATGAGGGTCTTGGACAGCTCGTTTCCCTCCGTTCTGTCCGAGCGGCAGTACGCCCGGTTGATGGGGGACTCCTTGGAGTAAACCTCCTCTTTTGGAAGCCGTGAGTACAGCAGCTCCATCAGCTTGAAGCAGCCAATCTTCTTCAGCAGCTGGACCTCAAATGCGGATTCACTCGACTGGATTTAATGACAGGCACAAAAAAGAAAATCTGATCACAACTACATAAATGACAAGATAGACAGGTCATAGTGTGGTCAGTGATTTGAAAGCAATTCAGTGAATAGAATTCAGCTAAGAGGCGAACCTTAGTAAACCGGCTGAGAAGGAAAGCGATCATATCAAAGATGTTTCCTACAAAGAAGTCACTCAGGGCCTTGGTGCTGCAGTGGGAGGCCAGAGGCAGCAGAACCCTCTCCGTCATGGCCTGCAGCATGGAGCTCACCGGCAGGTCTCCCTGCTGGACCACCTCGTGCACGGTGCACAGCAGCTGCAGCTGCCGCTCCGTCTTTGACCTAATTCGGCACAGACAAACTCAAAAAATTGAAGGAATTCTCCTGGGTTCCCATTTCGAAGAGCGCCGCGAATTCGGGAGCTTCACCCACCGCCTCGCAATTCTTTGGAAACACGTTTGGAACTGCTCCTCCATGATGTGCTTCGCGTCCCGACACAGGACCCCTGCCAGCAGTCGGAGCAGGAGCGGGCTGTGGGACAGCTCCAGGGCGTCCAGAAGCTAGAGGAGCAGAATGTCGGGGTCTCAGTTAGCTCAGGCGGTCCGCCTCTCAAACTCAAAAAGTTTGCCTCGTGTCTTTTGCTAGGGGCAGGTCTTTACCTTGCGGAGGCAGTCCATGTAATTGTTGCGTTGAAGGGAGCCCTTAGCGAACTCGTCGGACTGCATGGGGAAGTGGGAGGCCACCAGGGCATCCAGGGCTCTCTGCAGATCTGTGAGCGGCTCCTCGGGGAGAGTTGTAAAGAAAGGCAACACCAACAGGGCCTGACTCTGAAGACATGAGAATAAATCCAAAATTTATAAATCGACAATTTGATTTAGTTGTTTTTTTTCCATGTTCAACCTATTTCTGTGCTACGAACAATATGCCCAAAATAGTTCTTAAAGATGACATTTGCAATTTTTCTATTCGAAAAAACAAACAAACAAACAAACAAACAAACAAAAAACACTAAATCTAATTGATTTCTAAGAGATCTAAGAGTTTGTCAACGAACTAAAGGAGATGTAAACCATCACCACCAATTTAACAGAAAAAACAAAACAAAACAGAAAGATTGCGTTAAGATATACAGTCCTACAGCCTTCCATGACATTACAAAGTTATTTTTCATTTTTCACAAGTCATTTACTTCCATAGTTGTTCCCTGAATGTTATCTAGAAAAAAATACAACTGCGGTCTTTGAAGGGATTCAAAGGCATCCAATTCTGGTTAATCAGTTAATAGTTTCATTACCTTGAGATTCAGAGGCAGATTCATGTCAACAAGCAGCCTTGTGAAAGTGGAAAAAACAGGCCTGAATGCCTCATGGTTGATGTCTGAGCAGACTGAAGAATCAATCTGATGAGACAACAGAAGATGTCAGAGCGCTTTTACTGAATGGCTAAACATTAAACATTTACGACGACGATAACGTAGCTTCGACCAGCGGCAAAAACTTTTGGCAGCTTGTCCTGGAAATACCGAACCTGCAAGAGCTTGGAGAGCAGAAGAAGAGTGGCCGTTTTGCTCTCTGGAGTTGACGACTCTCCGTCCCACCATGACTGCAGACTATTCCACCTCTTCAGCACTTCCTGAACCAGCTGCTCCCCCTGAGTCTTCCTCACAGAGCGCTCTCTAAAGCTGTGGTCCAGCATGCCGTTCAGCAGGATGCTCACCTGTGGGAGAAACCCACTCACAGTGAGGAAGAGTCTTACGTGTGTGACCACGAACTATTCAGCTAAATAACGTGGTGAGCTACCATGCTGGGGTTTTGAGAGGAGGCCTGCATGAGGCGTGGCACGGTGCCCTCCAGACTTCTCAGCAGCTCGGTGTTGATTGTGGACTGGAAGAGGCTGTAGAAGTACTCGCCGTGCGAGAAGCTCAGGAAGTTGTGGCTGTGGCCCCCGGATATCGGGACCGAAAGCATGATTGTGTTCAACAGCAAATCCACCAAATGTTCACTCTGAAGAGACAGAAAAAAAAAATCCCATCCAAAAGGAACATAATGTGGTAAAACATGTGGTTCACTCACAGATAAAACCTTTAAAAAAAGAAAAAAACAAACAAAATAACATGCAATATATTCAAATTAATTCAAAGTCTCATCTTTTCCTAATGAACTCTCTGCTTTTGTATTTTAAATATCGTATTGTAAGTGGCACAATATACTATCCCGGCCTCTGATACTGATTATAGTTACAAAAGTTGCTCCCAATTGTGTTAAAAATGTGAGTAGGCACCTATAAAAATCTCATATTATGAGTGAAAAACCATATCTGTATTTGTAAAGGTCCTATGAGGGGCACATTTTATTTATAAACCCATATCATGTGACAATTATGAAAAATCAGAATCAGAAATAGTCTAATAATCCCGGAGGGAAACTATTTAAATTTATTTAAAAACACTGTAATCAGTTTAACTGTTTTCATTTTGCAAACATTTGTCAGTTATATTAGGTGTATTAATCCACTTGTCATCATCATGGGGATCCTCCATTCTGGGAGATCTATTACTTTCTGCATGAAAGGTGCTTTTATAAATAAATAAGTTAAACTGAATTATAATGATGTACCTCTTATGTTGTGTTCACTGACCCCAATAATTTGCCCTTATCCTGATTAGTTGTCAATACTTTTTCCTTCAGAATTGATAGCTACCTAATTAATTTGTTTAATTTTCTTTAGAGGGATGGATAAACTGGTTCTGGGGCCATGTGGCCGGAATTTACCCCATAGCCGGGGGAAATTATGTGAGCAAAATTTGACATAAGTACACCAAATAATAAAAAGTCCACGATGCACCTGAGCTGAATCATTGGGAAAAACTAAAGAAAGCATACCTAATTCTGGTTTCTAGACATTTTGGACATTTCAATGAGAAATTGAGGTGTTAAAAAACGGGTACAGCTAACCTGCTGGTTCAGTGAAAAAGAAAGCTGAATCAGGTCATCTGCCACTCTTCTGGTGTTTATGTCCAAGGATGGGAGTGCCTTCCTTTCTTCTCCCGGCGCTATGCCTTTATACACCGTCATTAAAAGTCGGTGCCCTATAGAGCTGGCATAACCTGAATCCTAAAAAGGAGACACATACAGCAGCGGTTCATTGCAGTGTTACCAAAATTCCATTTTTTTATTTTTTATATCCCAATAAATCGTTTGTTTTGACATGCTTATACCTGATTGTGCAGGATGGAGCTGAGAAAACCAGCTTTGTGAATCTGTTTACAGGAAGAGAGCACCATCTCCACTTGGTCGTGGCGGCTGAGAGCGTTGGAATCATATAGGTCTAAAGCACATAAATCTTCCACGCTGTAACGGCCATTAGAAGAACAATATGAATCAGCACAGGGGTTTAAATAAAAAAAATAAAAAAACTTTTCCTCTTTAACTGATCACAAATAAGGACAATGGAATACCTTTTACGAGAAAGTTTTGCCCGTAAGCTGCTTTCAATATGGCTGCCATATGGGGAGTCCAGCAGAGCCTTCAGTAGGGGAACACACACCTCTGGAAGGTTCTTCATCACTTCTACGTCAGCCATGTTGAAGCCAACCGCGGCTGGCTCGCAAACCACCGCCGCAGTCAGCTCAAAAAAGGCCGTGCAAAAGATCTCCTTTTCTAGAAGCTGTGAATCAAATAAATACATTATTTAAAGGTGAACCCTGCCAAAAGCAGCTACCGGGACCGAGTTGTTATTTTTTACTCAGTCCATGTGATTCAGGGATACCTTCCAAAAGTCTGGGTCTCCTTTCACGAGAATCATGGAGGCAAACTCCAGCAGACGGACGATGATGGTGCACTTGCTGTAGTTGTACTGGTCTACTTCTCGTGGACTGAAGTGAGAGGTCCGCTCGCCACCGGGGAAACAGCTTTCCGCTGCTGCCAGTTTATGGGCTGCCAGCTCAGTCAGGAAGAAATGTGTCGATTTCAGAAAGGTGAATTTGTCTTTGCAGCCTTTGGAATAAGAGAAAGAGGCATTGGTGCTTCATGTCATGGCTTAAATGTGGAGGAAAATCTCAGATCAGCCTTACTTACTAAGGATGTGCTGAGGCTTGATTATGTGCAAGCCTATGAAGGTGTTGTAGCAGTCCAGGACGGCCAGCAGTAGGTCCATCCACTGCAGGGTGGCTCGGACACTGAATGGGCCCGTCAGGTCCCTGAGAGTGGGCTGGGACAGGAGGCCTCCGCCCTCAAACCGCGAGATCAAGAAATCAGTACCATGATCCCGCAGCATGCCGTCCAACCACTGAGGAGGGGACTTCTTGCCTGCCACACGCACACAAAAACACAAAACATGCAGTCTTAAAAAAAAATGAACTCACTGAGAACTACAGCCATATCCAAAAAAAGAGAAAGGGTTTATTTTCTAATTCATCAGCCTCTTGTCCTGACCTGGGAGCAGAGGAATAAATTCGTACAGGAGCTCCATGCATTTGTGGCGACACTCCGTCTGAGGCCGGCCACACTGCTCCAGAAGCCACACGACCATGTCAGAAAGACTCAGCTTTTCATCTGGACCAAATCCCCTGAGACATCAAACAAACAAACAAACAAACAAAAAAAAAAAAACAAAAAAAAGAAAAAAAAGGTGCAGTAAATGTGAGCCTTATCGGCCCATTTCTGGATTTTATTTCATAGCAATGTTACCACACATTTGTAATACATAAAGGGACCTAAAATGCCTTAAAAAATAATTCTGAGAGGAACATTTTTGACCATATTGTTCATATTGTAAAATAGGTATCATTTTACTGAAGGTATGAGGTCATGGATTGCCAACCTGGGGATGCGTCTTTTTGCATTGTGCTCATTGAGACTGGAGGCCTTCTGTTTGATGATTCTCTTCAGATGGTCAATGGCACTGCAACACTGCTGCACAGTTCCTGCATTTAAGATAAGAGAAGGAAAACCCTCATGAAACCTAACAAAGCCAATCAGTGTCAGTTCTGGAATCTGGTCATTTTAACAGAGGCCGTATTTAAATGTTAAAGCTTTGTGATGTGTCCGCTACAGCTTTTTTTCACGTCAGAATCCATATTTTTTTATGAAAATGTGTTGATAATGCTGAGGAATTCTGAATGCGCTATCCATAAAGCATTCAAAACAAATAACTTACCCATAGATCGCTCATCAGAGTGTGCCAGAGCCAGACTGTCAACAAATATGACCAGAACTTCAAAGACAAACTGCTCCACGAGTGAGTTTTCCTCCCTTAAAAGATAAATACGTAAATAAACAAAGAGAGAATGGCTTGGCGTAATAAACCATTCCGAAACTATTTCTGATTTGCTGTAAGAAAAAAAGAAAATGAGGCTAAACTGAGCAAAGGAGACAGGAAAGCATCATACCTGAACTGTCTGTAGATGCTGTTGAAAGCTAAGGCGGCGCCGAGTCTTTTGAAGCCGTTGGGATGGAGAGCCAGGCTGTAGATCCGCTTAAACAGGGACTTCATGTTGGTGGGGCTCTTCTCCTGCTGCTTGGGGGTGGTTTGTTTGATGGACCATTTGACGAACTCTTGGATGCAGCGGCCGCAGAAGTCTCGGAGCGTGCTGTCCTTTGGGTCAACCACGCCGTCCTGAGGACAGGGAGAACCTGACCTTTAACCCGAGATGCGTCTCAGATCAATGCTTTGAGCGGGTGTCCCATGTTTGAGTCTGGTTTTCTCTCTCTCTGGATCTTTCCTCTTAAGCCACTAGAGCCAGAAAAAGCAAAGCCTTAAACTGAACTTATGCACTTCTACGGAAATGTGAACACCTACCAGGATGGCCTCGAGAACAGCGACTGTATCTTGACTCTCAAACTTCTTGTTGTTTGTGAACCAGTGAATAAGCTGCATGACCAGAGGCTCAAAAAGCTGCCTGGTGACCTGGAAAAGAAATTCTAATCAAGACGTGGAACTCATAACCAATATTTTATACAAAAATGAATCCTGCAATGAGAGGGAAAGTTGCCTTTTTATTCATTTTCTAATCAGACTTTTTATTTTTTGTGTGTGTTTCTGTTCGAATTATTTAAATATCACATAATGAAAATAAAGTTTTATCAGTATTTTGTTGCCTGGTTTACTTGGTAAACATGTAAAAAAAAAAAAAACAATGTAAATGCCAGATCACCACTGCATGCATGGGTCCTGTATTGTTTGTTATTTGAATAACACAGTGAAAAGAAAAAAATCGTAGTGAGCTGATATTTGATAGAAAAACTTTTTGTGTCAAGCCTTTTTAAATCTCTAAAGATAAGAGAAAATAGTGTGCTGTGTCAAATACAATAGACTAACAAAATAGTAAAATTCTAAATTAAAAGCAGATAAAAATCATACAATGAATGCACTAAAATAACTGCACTAAAATAACATACCAGTTCAGCATTTAAAAATAATTGTCATTAATTTGCAGATAATTTTAAAACTTTTCTCAAAACTAACTAGGATTTATGAAAAATAAAAACTATCTAATAAGTTTTGAAAAAGAAAGAACCTGAAACTGAAGTTTTCATCAAACAAACAAGCACACTTAAAGTCCACCAAAACAAAATAAATTATTTTCAAGAGGTTTCTTTTTTTTATTATTTATTTATGTGATGTTAAGAAATATGTTTCTGGTTTTATTTGCTTAAAGGAGAATAAATTATGGTTCCCAGACTGTTTAGTTAACCTTACACAAGTAATGGAATAAGGGAAAGTAAAGAAAGTATATCCCAACTGTATAAAACAGTTTTATCCTTTTCTTTTTAATTATCTGTGTTTTACAACTGGATTTACATGCTAAATAAGCAAAGAAAATGTAGGATTTATCTCACCTGATCAACGTCGCAGGCCAGACGTAGCAACACAGGAAACAGTTTTTTGTGCAGCTTGTACATGGGTGGCAATTTATTCTCCCCTTCCACCATCTGAGCGCCTTTCCCCACCATGTAGACCACCAGGCTGTGGAGCAGCTCGCAGGCCGCCACCTGCATCGGAAACATCCCAAATCAGCCATTTCAGTCAACTCGCCAAACGCCACTGAGGAGAAACGGTCTTGGAGCAGATGCGGGACGTACTTTGGTTTGCCGGTCGCTGGTGGACAGAGCCAGTTCGCTGATGCGCGGCAGGAAGGGGTCGAGGTAGATGACCGGCTTCATGTCCGTGAAGGGCACAGCGAAGCTGAGTCTTTTCTCAGGATCCCAGGCCACAAATTTCTTCATCATTTCTTCTGATGAGACCTCTGCATAAGAAAATAAAGGGTTTGTGAACATTTCAACTCTTGATCTGTCTCAATATTATATATATATATATATATATATATATATATATATATATGTGGAAAGGTAAGGCTTGTTTTTACAAATCCTCACCAGACACAAGGTTTCTGTTCAGCTTTCCGCCCAGCCGACCAAGTAGCTTTACCACCCTGAGCCTCACCATGTCCAGGGGAGCATCCTCCTGCACAAAGCAAAAGGGACACCATCTTAAATACGATGAAGTAATTTACCTGAAGCAGGAACATTAGACTTATGGGTAGAAAAGGTGCTTTTTTCTCCTCCATTACCATAGAAAGTTGGTTGCTCTTCTTCAGGAGCCTTGTCATTACTCTGCTGTATCCTCTGTCACTTCTTGAAGACAGAGAAGAGATCACCTCCCAATTGCTCTCGTCTTTTTCTAAACAGATGAATAAAAAAAGTTCAGATTCACATTGAATACAAATCAGTGCCTCAGTGTGATTTGAAGCCGTTTCAGGTTTAGCAAAGCTGCTCCTCGTCTGTTTCACCGTTAGTGGAGGTGGTTTTCAGGTATCCATCAAGAAGAGGGAGGATGCTTGAATAGCAGGGCTGCATTGTCTCCAGCGGAATGTGGGAGGACCAGTCCTCCAGAGCATCTAGGGCAGCGTTAGCCAGAGGAACATGGCTCAGACCCAACCTCAGAGCCGTCTGGATCCATTAAGGAACACAAAAACATACAGGAGCCCCTTATAAAGTCTGCTCGCTTTGTTCCTGTTCATGCAAATCAGTGCAAACAAACTCAAATCCATTTTAAGACATTCTGATATACAACTGAATATATAGGACAAGGTTTACTCAAAAGATTTGCAATTTTATTTGTATTATTTATATATATAAATAACTGAAGCTGAGTGTGTGAATAATTTGCAAATACATTTGGGTTGCAGCCATTTCTGGACCATTGAGTGTGGGTGATGGGTGAAATTTGGGCAACTAGCTACAGGCTAATACTGTATTAGCTACAATGATTCGCCATTCCTTTTGGCTAACAGCTTTAACCACTTCATTAACATTTTTTGTAATTGGCAGTGTCAACACTTTGCTAATTATTCTTTTTCATGGCTTTACCATTTATTTGTATTATTTAACTTCCATATGTTTTAGCTACATAATTGAATGAGTTCATTGTTGCATTCTAGCTAACTTTTGCTATAGAATTGATTATAATTACCTAGTACCATGGCACAAATAGCTCCTCCACAACCAGGATAACCAAACACAGTCACTTTTGGAGACTAGCAACCGTTAAAGCATTTTTCAAAATTAATACATAATAAAAAATAAAGAAAACATAGCATACAAAGGAGAAAGACAATTATCCCACCTCTAGTGCAGGGCAGTAGGCTTTAATGTCCAGAGCCACAATGTTGGGGTGTAGCGAGAGGACAAAAGTCAGGCAGGATGCCAGCAGCTCGTCTTTGTACTGCTTCATTCTGACGCACACCTGGTGGGAAATGCATATTCTAACACGCACTGAGTATCAAATGCTTCTATAAATATCATGCAACAATATAGGAGGTTACCTCTTTCCCAAACTTCGAGAAGAGAGCAAAGCAAGTACTTTTCACCGTGTCCCCTTGAGGGGATGCAGAGCTTCTCAGGCCAACTCCCTGTTCCAAAGCAAATCTGTATTATTCGTTTGATATGTTATATGCGACAGGTGCATGCCGTTACATCATTACATTTCCTCTAAATTGTTCATCTCACATGCATAAACACATTATTTTTTGTTTTTTTCTGTATTCATTTGATAAACATTTCATAATCAATCATGTTATTGAAAAAATCAAATTCTGGAACACAAAACAAAAAAAATGTAGGTTTATGGGACATATTGTTAGTTCTTTACCATGTTCTATAGAGTTTTCACATGTCCATATTATTTTTCAGGTAACCTACCAATGAGTGCATCACTATGACTACAAAAAAAGAAATATTTACCTGATAGTACTTAATCCGCTTGGTGATTTTCATGATGACAGAGAGCAGTTTGTAAAAGCCGCTGACCAGTGGGTTTCGTATTGAGTGGAGGATAAGCTCATGGCTCAGGGAATACGTCCATGTATGGAAATATTCCACATGTTTTTTCAGCAGCAACTCACTGCAGAGACATAAACCATCATTCTCACTGTGACAGTTTCAAATGGGGTAAGTATTCACTTTTAGAAAGTAACAGGGAAAAAAAATAAAAAATTGAATTCTGACGACAAAAAGGAAAGAATTGAAAAAAAGCTGGATAGATCTGACATACTTATGGGGCTGTTTCGTTAGTACCCTTCCTGCCCTATCTGCCACGGCTCAGTTTACAAGTGAAGTCCAAACATAAAGACGGTCTGTGTAGTCATGGTGGAACCTTGTGGTTAGACCAGACTGTTGTTCCGTGTGGTGGGCATTTACAATGTGGATGAGCTCAGAAATAAAGTAGTCACTTTCATGTCACTTCCTGTCTTGTGACCCTTAAGGCTATTACATACTCCGTGAGAAGTGAGAAATTTGTTCTCGCTCCCACGGCTGTCTCCATACCTGCAAAACTCCACCAGGTTGATGAAAGCCGTGAAGTCTTTGACCTTATTGGGCAAAAGATGAGCGGTGGGGTCGGATGAGGGGAGGATGTGGGCTGTGTCATCTGGAGTCTGAAAAAAACCAACAAAGAGGGAAGTCCCACTGATTGTTTTAGGATTTTGGGAGCCCTTGTGTTAGAGACAGATGGACAAAACATTTTTTAAATGGGTTATACAAACTTTGACATAAAAAAAGAGAAAAAAAGAGATTTAAAAGTGGAGGATCACCTCCTCCCCTGTTGTTATTTTCTGCACAGACAGGTCCAACTTTTCCACAACGCGGAGAATAGATTTCACCAACTCGTCGTAAAGAAGTCGACTCAGAGACCCGAGGGCGGCGTTCTGGCTTTCAAAAGCTCCGTCCAGGAATCCCGAATCCTGCAGATGAGGACAAAGATTTGGTGAAAAGTCTTCAGATGAAACAAACCACTGCTTTAGGCCAATCTCTAGCATCAAAGGGACATTTTGAAGTAAAAAAAGTGCCGACTTCAAGATACCAAAATACTGAGAGAACAAAGCCATGTACACTAAGCAGAGACCCCCATTTAGTGGTTTCCCAGCTGGCCAGAAGGGGACTAATAGTCCTTTCAGGACCGTTCCTGGATGGAATTAATTCCTTCTGATTAGCCAGAACCTTCCGGGTGAGGTTTTCTGCACTGGTTCTTACAAATATCTACCGATGCAACTCGGAAGCATAATTATCGATACCTGAGGTCCTCGGGTGTTTCAGTACTTTTAACATCAGACATCCTCACCCAGCCAGAGGTGATGAGTCCCTTGGCTTGTGTCAAAATACCAGCTGTGCCTATTCAGCTGACAATATTGATAACTCTTTCAAAGGTCACCTCTATGATGTCTTTTTGGTTGATAATCAACCTTAGCAGAACCATCTGTGTTGTTGATACTAAACCCAGGACCAGGTCTGGCCTGTGTGAGGTCTCTGAAATTGCTCCAGTTCCCCCCACGACCCCATCAGGGAATAAGCGGTATTGATAATGGATGGATGGATTGGAACTGCCTTCCAAGGTCTCACATGGTGCTCTTAAGGTTTCTCTGGCACAGAGGAGAGGATGGAGGCACCAGCATTTGGTTGGATGGGTATGGTAGGGTGTCAGACTAGATTAGGATCCCTCCAGGTGGGGTTTACGGGGCTAAACATTTATGGTTTGTTGAGAGTTTGCAACATCTTATTTGGAAAAATTGAATAGAAATACCCATTTAGAGTTTCGGAAAAGGCTTGAATCATTTAGGTTTCAGGTGCTGCTACATGCTCACCGCAGAGCAAACACACAATCCTGTGAAAAAAGGAAGCTACATTTGGAAATCATGAATAAACTATGGCCGTACCCTCAACTGGTCGCAATCTAAAAGTCCCTTAAACAGAGGCAGGTAGTTGGAACTGGATGGAACTTTCCATTTTCCGGCCTGAATGTGAGACGGCTCGTTCCCGTTTTCCTAAGATGGAAAATAAATCAATAAGAAGGCAGTTTATGTCACAAAAAAAGACACATTTGTGAAGAAAAAAAACCTCTGACCTCAGAAATGATGATGGGTTTTGAACAAACACGAATCAAACCCTGATGCACTGAAAAGGAATAAGACGTTATTGGAGCAGACATTATCTTATGAAAACAAAGCACAGAGCGATTGAAAAGCTATTTGCATCTAAGTTTAATTTGTAGTTTAGCAAGGAGCACATTGGCTTTCATATGGAACCTAATACAAAGTCATTCATTTCCCTGCTAGTGTGAGAAAAATGTTATTTAAAAAAAAAAATCACTGCAATCTCCACTGAATCAGTTCTTTGCAGAACAGCCAGACAGTAACTTTCCTTTTAACCAGATAATAGAGGAGCAGTGGTAGACTTTTTAAGCATCATCATACCAACAGAGCTGATGAAACTCCACAGAACAGGTCCTTTGGAGGCCACAGCCACCAGCACCTTCAGGATGGACCTGCAACAGGCAGTCTGCATCCTCTCGCTGTACTGAGGAAAGCTGTCGATCTGCACCACAAGCAGGCGCTCCAGTAGTGGGGTGTACACTTCTGGAACCTGAAACAAGGTAGAGGGGCAGATGTTCATGGCCATAATGTAAAAAAATAAATAAATCTCTCTCTCTATATATATACTTTTTCTTTTTAAAGAGTCTAATACTTCAGGGCTATCAGCTTGTCAGGAGTGTGTGCTAATCCTAGTACTGTTTTAATTCAAAGCAGCCTTAATTGATTAAGATCAATCATACACCAGCCCTTTTTCCTACCTTGTCCAGGTGAATCAGGACACTGGCTATCGAGTCCAGGAAGCTGGGCAGCTGGTAGAAGCTGTCATCCTCTCCGTCAGACTCCGTCAGGTACATCTGCTTACAGCGCTGTATCAGCTCTGTGTACATCAAATCCACATCCTGGGGACAGACCTTCTTGCACGGCTGTAGAAAAATAAAACACAGGATTTGCATGATGTATGAAGAAGATTGCACCTGAGCTAAAGAGGCCAACGTGAAAATCGTCTGACAGGGGACCCACTAAAGAACTCAGACTCAGCTCGTTCACGTGGGAAAAAGGAGTTATGTCTTGGTCTTTTTCAAAAGCAATTAAGAGTCAAGAAAGCAGCAGACGTACGGCAGCAAAGAAGCCGTATCCCCGTATGGCGATGGACAGCTCTTTGTGAGTGGACTCCATGGTTTTAATGATGCCGCAGAACTTTTGCATGAAGAACTTCAGCTTGGTCTTGTGCTCCTCAATATCCTCAGCCACCAACATGGCAACCTGAAGATTTTTCAGAAGAAGGAATTCAGAGTAATTGCGTTAAATCTGGTCATTCCTTACGGGGACCGGCTCTGAGGTCCGTACCTGCTTCAGAAAGGCCTCAAGCGCGTAGTAACTGGTCTTCTTCATCTCAGCATTGATGTGACCGCAGAGCTTGCACATGGTCTCGAACAGGGCTCGGTAGTGGTCCATGAGGCAGGTGCTGAACTGGGACGCATGTCTGGCAAACAGTCTGAGTCCAGCTGTTCAAACGGCAGTCAGAGACACGTGATTCTGATGCGGCTGTGAGCAGAGTTTTGCCCTAAGTGGCCGAGCCTTACCAAAAGTGACAGCATAGCGGGTCATCTCCATCTGCAACGGACGGAACAAAACCGGAAAAAGTTGCAAACAGATTCCATTTGTGAGGATTTGTATAGATAAAAGCAACACAGCAGATGGCCTACACAGAGACGCTTTACCTGGGGGGTGATGGCCTTAAAGGCATACTGAAAAATCTCCTTAGATGTTGACTGGTCTGCAAATCAGAAAAAACAACACTTGGTTTTGTCCTGAAATGAATGAATGAAACTCAAACGTGAGGACAAACACAAGGCTGGTCACCTTCCTCCATCGTTTTGGTGAAGTTGACCATTAGGGCATTGATTCCCCTCAAACATCCAGCAACTACAAACAGTTTGGGTTCCTTTGTTGAAGAGGTCATCTTGAAAGGAAACAAATAACAGATTATACACATTTAGATATGAGCTTTTTAGGCTTTTCAACAATGATCAAAAATAGCCCTGGTCTGTAAATCCCACCTGCCCCTTCAGCTCTCCGAGATAGGCCTTATAAAGCTTGTCCGAGTTGTTGACCATCTCGCTGGGATGGACCTCGGCCAGAACTCCCAGTAGCTCATAGATTTTACCGAGAACTGTCGCAGGAATGAGAAGAAATAATCAGAACGTGGCGCGATACATTTTAAAAGCCAGAATAAGAGATTTCGTGTCCGCCCACCGGAGTCCGGCAGCTTGAACTTCTGAGCGAGCTCGCTGTAAAACCGGTCGAAGATCTCGCAGACCCTGAAGTCCGCCGTGACGCTGGAGGCTTTCGTGGTTTGGAGGACCTGAGGTGACAGCAGTTTCAAGTTATCCGGCAAACCCGTCGGCAAAGTCAGCCGAACAGCGGGCGAGTCCGCTGATGCTCGTCTCAAAGAACCGATATTCTTATCAGAAGAAACCAACCTTGATGAGTAGCTCCAGCACAGGAGCCCTGCATTTTGCGACCCTTTCCTTTGTGTACACCACCATGCACGTGCTCTGCAATCAAATGAAGCCATAAAGCAAACAGGATCGTTGAATGTTGTTACATTAAAGCAAATATTTAGGGGAAATAATGGTTAGTGTGCACAAAACCTTTAAAATCTGATTCTTTTCATGTCAGTCCCCACTGTGCCACACAGCACATAAACTGAAAACGTACCTTTATATCGGAGGCATAGGTCTTCTCCCATCCTTTGACTCGGGGGGAGAGTTTGTCCAAAAACTTCTCCAAAAATCCCAAGACCTCCACGCGAGTGTCCCGCAGCTGGGAAACAAGACCATGCCGTCACTCTACAAACTTCTCACCTGATAACACGGTCGCTGGGTGAGGTGAACGCAACGTCTGACTTACCTCATCCCTCCCCAGGGATTTTCTGAGGAAGACGAGAAGCCCGTAGTCTTTCGAAAACAACAAGGAGGTCTGCAGAGCTTCACAGATCCAGATGTAAAGGCACAAATACGTTCAAGCTAATGTCATCTGATTCACATGCAACAAGCCAGTAACAAAGTTCAGTATTAAAAGAGCACCCTCAGGAGGCAGAGTCTTTGAGAAATGTTTTCGATGGGAAATAGAGGGAATTTGGGAAAGTTTAATTTTGTCATATGGAATATTCAATTGTTAGATGAGGTGTAACGTGTTCTTATGAATTTTAAGATGTGTTACATCTGGTTTAAACCTTTAGGAAGAGCTCCTCTGAAGTAACAAAGTGAACAACATGTCCTGCGGTTAGAACACCTGCAGAAAATTCTCTCAACTGATCCCAAAAAGGGCCCCAGGGGTTAAACACCCTGACCTGAATTTGGCGGAAAAGCCTAACTTTAAACACGCTTATCAAACTGTATCGGTGTTATTGGATTGCTTTCACAGCGACGAACTACTAGCTACCATATAATAATCTGTCAAGCACGTTTTTTTCTGCAAGTTGCATCGAACTTGTCAACAAAAGAAGCGTGTCCAAGTTGAATTAGCGCGAATGTAAATGGAGTCCGGCGCGGCCGGTGGGACGGTTTTAAAAGTGTATTTTATGTTACTTTATCAAGTTCCAACCCCGTAGTCTTACCAAGTTCATTCTCGGTGGAAGTTAGCATACACTCCTGGCCCAAATCACCAATAATATCGTGACATTTCAGAGCTGCACCTCTGGTGTCTTCGTCTGAAAGTGATTCGTGAAGTTTCAGAAGAAGCCCCTGAACCCCCGAGGCAGCGCCGGTCTGGGGAGACATGGCTCCAGCTCTGGACTACGCTAATATCAACCCCACATTACTCCCCAAAAGCACAATCACAGAATCGCTATACAGCCCGTGAAAGCAGGACAACGCTCTGTCAATATCCCAGCGTCATTCAGCCTCAAAACCCACACCAGGAAGCTACTAAACCGGATGTCACCTGCATAGAATTCACAATAAAAAAATTCTATTTGGTTAATTCACACCGACCAAATGTTAAAAGTGTGGAACAAATAATATTTTAGATTACATGGCAAAACATATTGACCTCTTTGACAGGAAACTTCAAACTTTAGCAGTGTGCAAGTGTTTAAGTTAGTGGTAAAGGTAGCTAAATGATACAGCGCATCTGTCCGCGAGAGAAAACGAGAACAAGCTCCCGATTAATTACGGTTTTACATTGGAGGGGTAACCGGAAATGTATTTAATGGCCTTTTGAAACTTTGGGAAACTTGTATTGATGTCTTTACAACAAAAACAGCACAAACTAAATTTTAATATCACTTACTATTCCCGAAATACCGCATTGTGTCATTTAGCTAGCATTAAGCTTTTTTTTTTAAACAGGTTTAAAAAAGTATTGGTTGAACAAAACGTGCAGGTGTATGAAAAAGAACAATTCTTACTCCATCCATCCATCCATCCATCCATCCATCCATCCATCCATCCATCC